TCTTTTAGTATTTATGAATATGATTACGCTATCGGTATGATATTATGAGTGTTGTTTTTTTCTAGTTTCTTTTTGTCCTGCTTCTTTTATTAATTTGTTGTAATATTTTCGGTTTAAAGTTCAAATATATTGTTACAATAACAATTCCGTTATTAATTTGACAATCACTGACAAATAATTCCAGAATTAACCTCATAGAAGAGAGTTCAGGTAGTTCTCATAGTTTTATCGATCGTGTCTAGAGGATTATCGACGATTAACGCAGATTTAGCTTAAAAACCTGAGTTTCGTTCATTGCTCACCTGGTTTTATAATAGGATTACATGTAGTTAGTCATTCGGCACTCAAGCGCGCTCCGTGACTGATAAGATATCACGACACTAAACTCATGAACAGATAATAGAGATGCGCACATACCATTCAGCTTTTGTTTTCCTTCTTGTTTCCCCAATTGTCTTGGGAGCTTTCCGATTATGAAGAAACGTTCTATCAATGATGGCTACTATACTTCGTGTTGCTTCGGATCAGTATAGATTCCTTCATATAGCGCAAAATTTTTGTATTTTTTTAGGGATGGGGGTGGGGGAATTTGAATCATTTTTGAACTTTCTTGTTTGGGAGAACTCTACTCTCGTATAAAAGCTTCCGTTAAATATATCACTTCTTAAATTCAAAGTTCTTTTTCCAAAAACAAAGAACGCATTACTTCTTGATGTGCATTGATCAATTATTTTAATTTATTAATGTGTTATTTGATGTAATTGACATATCAAAATTTATTTTCCTTCAAGGCTCATACTTCGGTGAACGTCAACATTATCTAGTCATAAATTAGTTGCAAATGCCGCTATTGTCAGAACATTTACTTGGTACGTTTCAGCTTCTAGACGCGCCTGAGCCCGAGTGTGCAATCAAGTTCGTTATTTTTTTAGGATTTAGGTTAGGATCTCACTGTACTATTTGTGTGATTGTGTTATGCAAGAAAAAACGTTGTATTTGCTCACATCATTATTTTGCTCTGCGCGCTGTCACGTGAGGTTAAATGCAGACGCAGATCTCTAGCTGCTGGCTACACTTCAAGAACAAGAAAAAAAACGGCTCTTATTTTCCCTTTGAAAACTGCTGTTGAGGAATCTAGAAATTGTATTAAAGATCTTCAGGTCAGGAACACTGTAATTTGAGGACATTTATTGTTATGAAGTATTACATGAAATTATGTATAACTTCAGGCAATAATATTGATTGATGGAATGGAATTTATCCTCAGCAGAAAAGTATAAATATGTTTATTGAGCTCAATCGTCTCGTTATCCTCATTTGACGTTGATAGGTAGTTTGATGTCTGCAAGTTGTAGAGAAGTGCGAGTTAACCGGCTTCGGAAAGAATCGGTAACCCTGTAAACTATTTTTTATGGTTATTGAAGTTCAAAGTCTAACAGTGCCTCCAACAGTGATGGAAATTCCATATATCTTGCAAAAATTTTGTGTTTGTTTGAATCCGCCCTAATAGCGTATCATGTGATTCATCATGTGTGATAGTGCAGAAACAATACAGTAGAGAGAACATAGAGGCTTTTATTAACGATAAGGCTTAACGCTGTATCGAACATTAGGTACTTTTGATATCATTCCGTTTTATTTGGATGCTTCATGGTCCTAAATTTACTTGGTTCAGTAGCTGCCGAAGTATTTTCGTTCATTTTGTGTCCCCAAGCTAAATGAGAACTATTGGGTAGACCACAAAAATAGTAGAACATCTTGGTTACACTTTCTTTCTGTTAAATTTGTGTCTGATGCTGTGTGATCTTGGAACGTTCTCATTACAATCATGCAACGCAGTCATTGAAATATTGAGCGTTCAGTTTCTATATAATGCAATACAATCATCACAAATGTGTAATGTTACTCTTTGACGTAATTTTCCAGATATTTGTTGTTACCTGATTATTTTTGTATGTGTCATCAATATTTAAAGTCTGGAGTGAAAGTTGACCTTCAGTTAATAGGTCGCGTTTAGGTTCGTCGATCAAAATACTAATTAGTGTACCCGACATCGCGTCTACAGGGGCGCGTGATGATCCTACTGATAGTTTATGCAACTCACACACCTAGGATTTTCTCACAGATATGCACGGCAGTCGCTCTCGTGACGCACATGGTTATTATTTTGTAATCTCCGAACTCGTACAATTCTTTTGTACCAGTGAATAATTACTTACTTTTAAGTTACTGCACACGCGCATGTTTAAGCATGCGTTCGGTTACGGTGCGGATTACGCATGTTTACGAATGGGTTGTGAATGCCAACGAATGATGCCACATGACGTTGAATGGTCGAGTATCAGGAATACTGTTACTTGAAGTGAGATTTGGTTTGGTTTTACCGCAAGCATTGAAAATTCGGTTGTTACTTCTATAATTATTTATTTTCATTTTGAATTGGAACACGAAATGGTTCCTGAACAGTCGCTTACCGCGACATGTTTATCCCTGTTGGTCAACCAGGATCTTTCGGAAATTCTGCATTAATATTATTTATATTATTTTTTAAATTCATTTCGAATAATGTATAACTTGTAAACATTTTCTCATTTTTAATATAAACGATTTTATGTCATTCTAGCTCGTCAACAGTTATAATGAGACTTTTGAGTAGTAATTTTTTAATTCATGAGTAGTACAATTTCGCTGAGTATGATTTCTTTTTTTTTTTTGGCAAAAAAAATCTAATTATGAAGTATAGGGCAGATTTGCTTTGGCAATTATTCCTTTCCTTTGCGGCACAATTCGTTGTATTATGTAATACTTAATAGTTAATACTTATTCAACAAACATCTTTCATCGTGTATTTACTAACTATTTTGTTAATGTTAGCAAACATTGCATGGTGCGCACTGCATTGATTGTCAATTTTTAAATGTCAGTCTAAGTAATTTGACCTGGATTTTCAAGTTACACTAATCTTCAGCTTGCTGTCGATTCAGCTTATTGCCTTCTGTTCAGTACGCTTGCTTTTTGCCGATGTCCAATTGTAATGGACGCTTTGTATTCCTTCACTAACATTTGGGCGAACATTTATCTCAGTTATTTTTTTCTGTAAATGTATTGATATACATTCATTTCATTTTCATATTTATGCCATTTCTTCCATATTCTAACATCCATATGGAATTTTTTCGCGTATGCTCTTTTCCTGTTCAATTCAATAACTTGTAAGTATGGAATTGATTTGCCACCGATATTTCATCCTAATATGATGCACAATTATCGCTGCTGTCTCGACTAGTGTTTCACTTTTGTGGTTGAAATTCGTTTTCTGCGCAGAAGTTTGTCTTCAACGACACAGTTCTTGATCACAAGCCAATTGTAAAAATAGCTCTGCATAGCTACTGCCTGAGCGCAGCCTAGTGGATGGGCTTAAATCTGCAGCCGCCGTCTCCTGTCTGATATAATTTAAGTCTCTGTATTGTTGCAGTTATTGTAAGAGATGGCAATAGGACCAATGGGCCCCAACATTATGACTAGACTCTTAATAAAGCACAAGACTCTTCATAGCAATTGCAGTGGCACTCGTTAAATTGTTGTGTTTTGTATTGTTTGTTAAATTTATTGTTTAATTATCGACATTATATTGTTTAATTATCGGATTAATTATCGTTTAACTATCGACTCCGTATTTTTTAATTTATCAACGGAGACTGTGGTTCTTTTCCAGGAGTTTATGTGTACACACGATCTTTAAAAGTTGTGTTATTTTTTTTTTTTTGCTCATGACGCACAACGTGTTGCTCAAGTCCGGAATTATGACACTTGTGGGAGGTTTGTTTTGTATGGCTGGTGCGACCGGTGTTGGTCAATTCGTTGTAAGGAGCGATGCTAGATCAACAGGTTACAAAGATATTAGGCTACCTGAAAAAATTATGTTATTTTGTGTTAACGTCCTCAGTCGTAGGGTCAAGTTTCTGCTTTTGTGATTGCGTTTTCAATTTATTTGATTTATTAGAATTGACGTTTTTGGGCTATGCCGGTGCGATAGCATTACAGGTTTTGGTCTTAGCAAATATATACATTATATATGTTGAATTGAAATACGCTAAGGAATAATTTATTTTTAACATTAAAACGCGATACTGTACCATGTGATAACATTTTTTGAAGTAAGTTATGCTTGGAATGAATGTAATTAAATGAGGTTGAGAAACTTATGAATTCAGTGAGATAAAATATAAATTAAAGTTGTAGCTGAATGAATCCAATCAAAATCTCACAGATTCTTTCAACTGCCGTAACAAATTACAACGAGACTCGCATAATTTTTCAACTGCGTAACACAGAATTTTTTTTAACTGCCGTAACAAATACAATTTTAGACTCTTGGAGATTGAATGCAGGCTACCGAAATGTTGCCGTTGTATCTAGGTAATCAGTATAAATAAATCTAACAGAAGTGGTTAATGGAATGTCGGAGCTCGAAGTATAACAGAATTTTCGCTAGGTTAGCAGGTTATTAGTCCAACGTGACATCGCTTCGGTGAATTTGCCGTTCGGTTACTGAAAGACTCGAGTGGTCGGATATTTAATGTACTTTGGATACTCGTCATGTCATCTATGGCAACTAGTGTATGAGCATTGCTAATGTTAGACCACCGTTCATGCTGTTTCGAATAGTTTTTAGCGAAACAGGTGTTGTAGAGAAAGTTTGGATCTACTACTAATAATGCTCAGAAGTTGTTTGCCTAATGCCTAATGATCATTTATTCGGCCGTCAAAAATATAATGGTAACGAGACGCATAATAACCATGCCTGCACTGCTAAATAATTTTTGCTACATCTCCTGATGCAGCAAAAATTTCACTCCTGAATCCAGTTTGAGATATTCACCATGTTAATTTAAATTTGCAATATATGTTGAATATTAATTATTGTCACAATGTTGAATATTAATAATTGTCAGAGTAAGTTTATTAACAGACGCTGCTAACACGCGGTTATTTTACAGTCATGGGACACGTTCTTCCGGTCGACGACAGCGGGCGCTAGTCCCGGATCTGCGTACTCGTCGCCTCCGACGCTGGCGCCGCCACACCCCAACCACGCTCCGCTGTCCGCGCTGGCGCCCGCGCTCGCCTCCCAGGGGCCCGTGTCTGTGTCTGAGAAACTCATAGACGACCATCTCGCTGTCCAGGGCATCATACGCGCTTACCAGGTCTTTTAATACATATGCCTCACCCTATTGTTTGTGATGTTGTCGATAATTCTTAGCAATCCTTCAAAGTTGAGAGAGTAATTTACGTGCCTATGAGGCCTTTTTATAACCATGCTTTACCCTATTCTTTCTGATATCGTCAATAATTTTTCGCAATTTTTCTTTTCTCTCTACCCTATTGTTTATGGTATTATCTATACTTCATTGCATATATTCAAACTTGAGTAAGAGTTATTTACAAATTTTGACACAATTAATTAAAGTTAGTAAAATAACGATTTTTCTTGAATTTTTGAAAAGTTTTCAATTTTAGGATCCTAAAATTTATTTTGGTGCATGTGTGCATTTAGTCTAGCTTATAATTGATGAAAACATTAGCAGATTTTCTGTGTCGACTTTTTCAAGTAAATCTGAGAATCGGTGGATTTCACCTACGCACAAATGGCTTCCTGAAAATAGGTCACAATTTAGATCTCGTTGTGCGTAGCTAGTTTATAAGGTGAACCTTGATATCATGATCATAACTTGCATTTCTTTCATGCAAATTATTTGCTCTAGTTTCTGGAACTTAAAATTTTCTTTATTTGATATTGCATTTGCTTGACAGTTTTTTCATTTTGCGTTACAGTTTTTTCATTTTGCGTTACAGTTTTTTCATTTTGCGTTACAGTTTTTTTAATTACGTGTCAATATTCCTACATACCGTATTCCATGTGTTGGAAGTTCAAATGTTTACCATGACCATTTTTCACTTATATAACATTTGCGATTCTAGTTGTGTCAGAAGTGTTCCCGAAATTTCGGATCTAATTGATGTTGAGCAAATTTCCCAACTTCGATACTTGCCATTTATAGGACTCGTTATTACCTCAGTTTTATATATACCCCATCAGTTCATCCAGGTTTTATCAGTTTATCCAGGTTTTAATAATTGACTGTTAAGTTGGTACGGTATCCGAATTTAAATTGAATTATGTTTTCATTCATCCATAAAAGGACAGTCTATTTTCTTCTTTCTTCTCTTGCCTTCCTTCTCTTCCTCATCTCTTATCATCACGAGTTATCACTAACACATTACATCTCCACGAGTCTGATGTTTTTGGTTGTTGTTCTCTGAAAGAAAGAAGTCGATTTGAAGTTGTTTAAACTGTGCTGGAAACGTTAACATTTTTATTTACAGTCATTAAGTCCGCATCATATCATTAATCAATTGCATGGTTGATAGATCCAGGTCTTAAATTTGACGTTGATACAACCAATGTAACGGAACTTTGTCTTAAAAATCCGATGTTATTTTGTTTTGTTTTTCTGGCTAAGGAGCTATTTGAAAAATTTCAAATATATTTTCTTCAGCAGTGTCGATTTTCCATGGAAGAACCATGGCAAATTATTGTTTTTAATCACATAATTACATCTACGGTATTACATTGTCTACGGTATTAGATTTGTGGGATTTTCTTCAGGATATATAATTTCATTCTCGGGTCGACTATTTATCGGCTCCGCTGGACATGAGTTTGTACGGTCGCAATTTACTTCATTTTGAGGGAGATGATTTAACTGTGTTCAACTCTTAGCTGCAAGATTTTCTGATGAAAACCCTTCAATTATATTCACGTGGTTGAAAAGGACTGCATCGTCATCGTAAGAGAATAACCCCAAATACATTGCAGGGTAGTATGTGTTTACGTCTTCGATGTAGCAACACTGACCGAGTTTTTGCTGGTCTCGCCGATGTCTTTGTGGCTAGTGACCTTAGTCTTTGTGGCTAGTGCCCTTAGTGTTTGTGGCTAGTGACCATAGTGTATTTTATTTCTCTCGAGTTGTTCAAATTTTGTCAATTTTTGGTTTTATGTTTGGAATCTGCATGATTGCTTTCAGTTACGCTATTGCTTCCATTTTGATTCCCACCATACAAAAGTTTTTAATAAGAGATATTGGCTTGGATTAATTTGATTGGATTTAGAGCTTTTTTTAGTTCAATTCATGGGTTATTATTGTTTCTTTTCTGTACGCTACGTCAGTCGTCTGGTCCCTCTTTGTTTTTGGGTATCATGAACCGTGATGAATAAGAACTGTCTTGTCAACTGCTTCATTAAGACCAGAGTTCGCATAGACCTTACTCAGTCAGCTGATATTGAATAGGTACTGATATTAATTAAGCAGTTAGCTTTATTCAAATCAGTAATCAATAAATACCGTCAACTAATTCAATGGGCTCATACCCTGCTTTTTATAAGGCTTTGTTTACGATAAAGGGATTTAACGAACTCCAAGATAACTATTGATGTTGTTCTTGATTTGAACGTATCTTCTATATGCTTGGTTGAGTTATTCCATCCCGTATTTTACTGAGCAAATAATGTTGTAGCTAGTGAGGCCGAAGTAACACGCATGACATTGACTTACAGAATTGGTTAAAAAAATAATAATAATGTCGCATGCTATTTACAATAAATATAGTCTATTCGTCGTACATTTGTAAATAACTTGAAATTTGTAGAACACATTTTTGAACTCTGTGCATTTAAGCATTCATGCGTTCAACTTGAAACTGCTGCGACCTTTTTTTTTTTGTGCTCATCAGTCCATTCAAAAGTAATATCGATGAGGCTCGTACTTCCAAATGTCCAATTTACCTATATACTTCAGAATAGAATTCAACTGCTTTCATGTTAGTCTGAATTCACTCGCCTTTCAAATTTCTTCACCGAAAGTGGAGTCTTCAAAATTTCCGTGCCTGGTCTTTTTAGCGCATTTTCTCATTTATGGAAAAAATGCACTATTGTGCTCGCCATGTCCGTCCGTCCGTCCGTCTGTCTGTCTGTCTGTCCGTCCGTCTTTCCGTCCGTCCGTCCGTGACCTCTAGTTTTCGTCGACGAGAAAATGCGCTCTCTGTCACTCACTGCAGTGAGTACTGAGTTATATTTTTTCAAGCTTATTTTCTTGAACATTCTGTTTCGTTCTTTGCACTTCCTATATCTAATCAAAATTTCGCTCCATGCTTTCCTTTGAAGTTACAAAGATTTTTGTTAACAGTGAGTCCAATTTAATCATGCTTAATCGTAAGGGATAAAACGTCACTGGGCTTTCCCGAATTAATTTTAATTCCTGAGCAATCATTCGTTATACATTTAAATCCCTTGATGTGCTGAATCATTCAATATGAAATGTATCAAGCATCCTTCTGTCACGCAACCTTTGCTTATCAAATAATCGTGGGAATCAATAAAGATTTTAAATGATCATTATCATCTTACATCGTGGCGGAATAGTGTCTGAATGATAAGCTTATCAATCCATTGCTATGAAAATGCATGTCAAAATTTATCCCTATTTTTGTATCGCAATTTAATTTAACGGCATTACTATGCAAATGTTTGTTAGCAAGGTTAGCTTTTGATAAAACATGTATTATATTTATAAATATTTAGTTTCAGTTGGAAAATTGCGCTACTCAGAATTTCATTTGAAATTCGCAGGCTTAAGCTGTTTTGTAACGATTGAATTTTGATTGTTCATCTATAATATCTATTTGAATTCTTATCGTATATAATGTTTTCATAAATAATTCCGAATTCAGTAGATTCTTGTAAAGTCGAAGTAGTAACAAAGTTTTTGCGAATTTCCGTTTTGAATTGCATGATTAAATATGATTATATTAAACTCAAATCAATTTTTAACTGAAGTCATTTTTTATTGTTCGCTTAATGAAATATTTTACGCATACTAGTCACCCTGTATGCAATTTTTGGCGCAGTCGATTAGATAGGCACTCTGTTTAGTATTGTATCGTCCGTGTTGCCTTGCCTCAACCGCCACCCGAAACTACGTCCGGCATATGTTTCTTCATATTAGTACCACCAAGTTATATACTTCACTGGTCTAATAAACCAATCAAATATCGCTAGTACCCCGATGCACCTAGTCTCCGTGTATCGCCATTGGTATGTTGTGGAGTGGACTAACCAGCCGTGTTTTTTGCATGCCGTATTTGTGGTGAGGTAGGCTCGTGGTCATCTTGCAGCATCTCTGGACCCTCTGGGCATCTACAGACCGCATCCTGCTGAAAAAACAGTGGCGTCCCGTGCTGTAGTTAGGGCTCACCTCGATAAAATTGGTATGTTCATATTCGAAACCTTGAACACATACTCCCGTGAGTCTGTTTGATCTAACTTTTCCTGGAGCTTGTACTAACATACCTGTTTTTTTTTGTGTGCTTCACTTGGGAGTATCGTGGTGGACACGCTTGTGTGTAGTTTGTGTAATACGAGCACCTGGCTCGTGCCATCAGGGTTAAACACATGTTTTTCATGTATTTTCCATTTCATTAACCTTCACTGTACATGTTTTTAGTTTGCTACGTATCTTCATTTCGCTACCACTACTAATGGCACATTCTATGTGATGTTATGCTATAAATGTTGGGAACTTGGGTGGTCTGTCGTTCTCTCTCCTGAGCTTCTACTAATGTTGAAAGTTGATGTGCTGCCTCTAGAATACGTGCTCAGACCGATGCAGGAACCCGAGTGCTATTTTTTACAATTCTCATCCTCAAAACTGCTGATTTCTTAGGTTATAAATGTTTCTATTCTTTTTCCTCACTCAATACTTCATATTATCCTGAACTTTGCATCGAGAATCGCTTTCTACGCTTCTTTGTTTACGCTTTTCATGCTAGAGCTTATGTTTAAAAAAATGATTAACAGAACTTAATAAATAGCTACTTTTTGTTCCTTCAAACATTTTATTAATTGCTACTAAAGTTCAGATTTTGCTTTAGTGTTATTTTTTATCGCTTTTGGCGAAAGTTTCTGATCCTGATATTATGTACTCGTTTCGTTGCATATAATGCCACTTGAATAGATAGATAATCATCTATTCCTTAGCTGCGTTTGCAGATAATGAGTAATAAATTCGAGCGATTTTGACCGTAACTATTTACAGAAATTTTATGAATCCCGAAACGGTCCGTAACTATAAGGTATAAAGAAGCTCGCTGTCTCGGTACCGTTTTTAAATCTTGTGATGTTCATGAAGTTCATGATGAGATTTTATTTTCACAATTTAGTATGTAGATATAGCCATTTAAAAGATAAAAGTTTGATTTGTGCACGTTAAACTCCTGTGCATTGAAGATCTCTTTAGAAGTTCCTGATATTGTCCTACTTGAAAATCGATTAATTTATTATCTATTTGATGTACTTAATTTTTTTTCTTGTGTAGTTCTTGCCTTGGAGGTTAAAAGTGAAATTTACATCAGCATTTCACTGTTTTCAAGATAATAATATGCGATAGAATTTGTTGCACTTCTGTAGAATTTTCGGTTGTTCAAACGACCTTAACTTCTTTATTCTATGGCAGAAGCGCTAGTAAACATTTGGCCATTAAACTATTTCCCGAGTCAGGGTAAGAATATAAATTCGTTTTGATCAGTTTAAGAATAAAGGCTAAAACCAAAAAAGTTGCATAAAACATTTTACTGAATAAAAGTCCTAGATAAATAAAACAGAACGTCTCGGGCTATGCCCATCATCAGCTAGTAGAATACATCTGGAAATACATGGAAATCAATTTTAGTACATAAATTTAGAAAATGATAAGGAAAGAAAGGAAAAAAACAACTATTGACCTAGAATCGAAAGAGGAAAAGAGCTGGATTGGTTATTCAATTCAACTTCATTCAATTCAAATTATTCAATTCATTCAACCAATCCAGCTCTTTTCCTCTTTCGATTCTAGGTCAATAGTTGTTTTTTTTCCTTTCTTTCCTTATCATTTTCTAAATTTATTTACTAAAATTGATTTCCATGTATTTCCAGATGTATTCTACTAGCTGATGATGGGCATAGCCCGAAACGTTCTGTTTCATTTATCTAGGACTTTTATTCAGTAAAATGTTTTATGCAACTTTTTTGGTTTTAGCCTTTATTCGTTTTGATCAGCGTCGTGAATCGGCAACTTTCACTTTCCTGATTTTTATCGTGGGCTTCTTTATGGGTTTACACTTCGATAATTCCCTTGATTCTTCATTTCCACCAATCTTTCTTAGAATTATATTGTAACTCTGTATTGACGCATGATTTTTTGTTAAGGTGTCAATGGAAGTGAATTTTATTTCAATTGAGGATCCCTAATTTCGGTGCACTCTTTTCATCGAACCCCTGTCATTGTTGTGCACTTCACAATTTAGAGAAACATTCAGGTGTGTCTTTCCAATGACTTGTATCGGTGTCTGCTGTCTCACTCTACACTCTCATATTCCTCATATTCCTACTTTCTTTCTTTCTCTGTGTATTCTTCTGTCATTAAGAGAAAAAAATTGCTGTTTCTTGTCTGAAACTGTCAAGGAGAATCGCTCTGGTGTTTTCTTCTGTCATTAAGAGAAAAAAATGGCTGTCTCTTGTTTGATACTGTCAAGGAGAATCGCTCTGCGTGCAAACACTTGAAATAACCCATTTTGCATCTTCTCTCTTGAGCGCATTATTTTAACTGACATTGCGTTCTACCTCGCAGGTTTTCGCACAATTTATCTCTTTCATTCTGGGTTTAGTCAGTAATGCTATTTTATTTCGAGGGCAATTTTAGTTTGCAGCTTGCAAACATCGAGTCTAGAAGTGCATCTCTAATACAGGTACTCAATCAAATAATGGATTTTTTTAAATTTTGGTATCGATTGCATGAATATAGTTTAAGTTAATCACGCAGTCTTCATCGGATTATGCAACACCGGCCAATTACTTGGTTTATTCCGTTAAATGGACGATTTTTATCCTATACTGGCCCGATGTTCGTGATTTACACGGGTTGTGATCGTCTTCATTCTCTACGCATTTACTTGGCTTATTGCCTACTACTTCAAATGGCTTATTTCCTACTACTACTATTGCCGCGCTCATTGTTTTCATCGGTCTTAGTAATTACGAGACTGAAGTGGTGTTTTACTGATAATGGGACCACGGCAGATTCGCGGTCACAGCATAGCCACTCTAGATCCTCTGGACATCAGCAACAAGGATAAGAAGGAGCACCAGCACACTGTGGTCAGAGGATACATGAATCAATTCAGTAAGTGCCTGGTCCTATACTTTCAAAAAAAGTTAAGAGATCGTAAGTTCATCAGCCATTCATTGACGGCCTTTCAAGCAAAATCCATCAATCATAGACAAGAAAATAGAGCGTAAGTACTTACGTTCACTTAGCAAGTTTTGAAAGTATGGCCCCTGGTCTAGGGATGCGTTCTCAAAGTTCTTGCGGTTATTGAAAGTTGTGTTATGACTGCAATTTGCAGAATAACGTGTATTGAACTTACGAAGTCGTGATTATTTTTTAGCACCCTTTTCTTTAGCTTGAGAAAAGCGCTCCGCCGTGATCGCTTTGTACAACTGTAGAGAAAGCGTGAGTTAATTTTTGTAGTCCAGGCATTTCTGTTGAGTCTAAATAAAAAAAATTTGAGCTTTATTCTGTCGTTTCTACATTCAGCTTGCGGATTGTATTGATTTCTCTCATACATTCAACCACTATCTGCTTTGATAATCGTTTTTCGTTTGGAATGAATTTGCACGCAATAACCTTAACCGAAAATCATCCATTAATTTTCGTCTCTCTGTTGCTCAACGCTGAGTCTCTTCAGCAGATTAAAATTGTTATGAAGAGCTGATTTTCATCTTTCATTATCGAAGTAGTTGATTTCCAGTGTAATTCCTTGTGGATGTCATGCAGCGGAAACTGCAACGAGAGATATTATCTTCGTATCATCGTCAAATGTTTCGTGTAATCAATTAAGTCGGTACCTTGGCTTGACTTTCCAAAGTTTATTTCATACTAAAAGGTTTCATTTCACCGCCATTCTAAAAAAAAACTTTCGGCAGACTTTCATGCCATGCTGTGCCTCGCTCGTTTTTACTGCTTCTGATGAGCATTTAGTTCTTACGTTTTGCATGATTTTTTTTATTACTAGCGGGCTCTGCATGTTGTATCTTGTATGTATTTTTTCTAAAGTAGTCATCTCTTTATTAGCTGCATGACGAATTTCTTTTTAAAATTGTCCGAAATACATTTTTTTGTTGGGTTTGGAAGCTAGAAAAACTTAGTAGATTTGATTCTAAAAATTGTAGTGGTCAAATATCTTTATTGTAGATTGCTCTTTTTTTAATTAGTGTTAAATCCATTTAATCGATGACTTAATGAGAAAAGGTATAAGATGATGTGTTGATCGTTAGAAGGGTGCTAAGTATTTCAATGTTCTTGAATCCCTTCATTCAGAGATCTATTTTTGAATATTCAATCTTCATCATGAAGAATTTTAACTCAAACATATTGTTCAACTCTAATAATATCCATTGAATGGATCATTTTAATATTGTTCAACTCTAATTATGTCTCTTTAATGGATCATGTTGAAGATAATTGTTCTACTTTGAATGTGTGCTGCAAATTGTTGTTTTATCGCCCAGATGAAGGAGACATGACGCGGTCCTACAAACTGCCCATGTCGACGTACATCGGCGGCAAAGAGAAGTCCTTGCCTCTCAGTGAGATCATCTCCAGACTCGAGAACGCTTACTGCGGATCTATCGGTGAGCTCAAGCGGAACCATTCGGGTGTCGAAGAAAAAGCTCAAATTTTGTTCTTTGTTATGTCTCGTGGTTGTTTATAGTCTATTCAACTTTGTTATGTCTCGTGGCTGTTTATAGTCTATTCAACTTTGTTTTGTCTCGTGGTTGTTTATAGTCTATTCAACTTTGTTATGTCTCGTGGTTGTTTATAGGCTATTCAACTTTGTTATGTCTCGTGGTTGTTTATAGTCTANTGTTTATAGTCTATTTAAATGCGAGTTTCAATTATATTAAGGAAGATAGAAAAGACTCGAGAACGCTTACTGCGGATCTATCGGTGAGCTCAAGCCTAATACTTTGAGTGGCGAAGAAAAAGTTGAATTTTTCCCCTTATAATGTCTCGTGGTTGTTTGAAGTCTATTCAAATTCAAGTTGTATTATGGACGATTGAACTTAAATTATTAAAGTAGTTTTTTTATTCTCCGTGCACTACATCGATTTGACATTTTGGATTGTATTTATTTTGTTTCTTTTGATTTTGAATGGAATTTTTTTTTGTGATTTCCTTTTTTTTATGATCTTGCTATCGCATTGTAACATTTAACATGTTTGGCTTCTGCAATAGAAATCACCGCTCATTTACTATTGTTCCAACTTTTTTTTTACGATTTAGTTACACGCGATTCGAGAGCCCCGGCATCATGCGGATGAGTAAAGACGAGAAGCGTCTACTCCTGGCCCGCCTAACGCGCTCGCACGGCTTTGAGGCTTTCCTGGCTAAGAAATTCAGCTCTGAGAAACGCTTCGGGCTCGAGGGATGCGAAATTCTTATCCCTGCTATGAAGAAGGTATTGTGAAATTCCGATCAAATACATTATGTAGAGAATGAATCTTTCTTAGCTGATGAATTTAGGAGGAAATTTGTATGTCTGAGCTTGTTAGAGATTATCAAAGATTTTAAAAGCATTTTTTGCTCATATTTCTTTAAGATTTCGATCGTGTAACGGTCAACCCCTGAGGCTTTGTGAGACGAGAACCCTACTACGCTTTCGCATTTTTGATTTAAGCGATCACTACTGATCTGAAATCTACATCCTAAACGCTGGCGAAAATGCAAATACTGAGCTAATTCCATGGATAGGTTCAAAAGTTAACAGATTTCTTTGGATACTGAACTAATTTTCACGGATAGGTTCGAAAGTTAACAAGTTTTTGGGTGACAGGTGATCGACCGTAGCACGTCGCTGGGTGTGGAGTCGTTCGTGATGGGCATGCCACACCGCGGTCGTCTCAATGTGCTGGCGAACGTGTGCAGGAAGCCGCTGGAGCACATCTTCACGCAGTTCGCTGGACTTGAGAGCGCTGATGAGGTGCGTAGCAACATACACTGTTAGAAAAAAAGGTAAAAAACTGTCCCACTGGCGTTCTAGTGGCCGGTCGCCCCGTGAAAATAAACTGTTTCGCCGTTTTTATCAAATGTTTAATAATGGTAATAATACAATAATGTACAACAATGTTTAATGCTGAGAAGTACAATATTTTTAACTCATGTGATGACTTTGGCATTTGTGCATATACTCACCTAGCTCAGATGGACTGTGTTTGTGGATATAGTGCGTATTATGTGTTGGACTAATCACTATGCTTTAGGTTTTCCCTTCGCCTTAATCAAAATCATAGGAAACATACGTGATCTTTCAAACAGTGTTCAACTGATACTGCAAACGGCGTTCAACTGATAGTGCACGCATTTATTGTAAAAATACATACGCCGATGATTAATGAGCGATGATCGTCATCCGACCATGCGTTGAGGCTATAAATCGTCAGGATCGCTTCACGTCAGGAAAATTACTGCAATAACACTGACGAACGGCGTGGTTTATGTTTTGTAGTGACAAACGAATTTCATTTCGCAGGAATAATACAAAATTGATGATTTACTGTCTTCTCGTGTGAAAAAATACTGTTGTACACTAATTCATCAGATGTTGGGGCAATCGAGCGAATCATTTGTTCATTAAATATTCTTCGTGTTCAAGTAATATGATGGACCGTATAAGGAAGGTTAGGAGACGTAAATAATGACGTACAATTTATTGCTGTATAGGTTCTTGTGTAGTATTCTCGCGTAATATTTGATATTATACAAATAGCATCTAGAGTCTTTTGTATCGTCCTACTGACAAACGAATTACTTGAAGTGGCCAAAATTCAACCTTCTATAATAACCAAATAATTACTTTAACTGGCGAAAATTCATCATGTAATGACGAAATAATTTCTTGAATAAAGTTCTATAATAACAAATAATGAAGAGTATTCAATGTTGACAGGGTTCTGGGGACGTGAAGTACCACTTAGGCACGTACCAGGAGCGCCTCAACCGCATCACCAACAAGAACATCAGACTTGCCATCGTGGCCAACCCGTCACATCTGGAGGCCTGCGACCCCGTCGTGCAGGGCAAGACGCGCGCCGAGCAGTTCTATCACGGAGACTCCGAGGGCAATCGAGTAAGCCTACAGAACTAGCGAAATTTTCTTCCTAGCAAACTTTGTTGCTAAAGTAAGTTGCACAAACGATGTTGGTTACGAGTTGATTTGACTGCGAAATTTTCTTCTAGGCACGTTTTGTTGCAGAGGTAAGTTTGATGAAATGACGTTGAAGCGACGTTCATTACGAGTTGATTTTGGAAGGCCTCTTCCGAGCAGTTCTATCACGGAGACTCCGAGGGCAATCGAGTAAGCCTACTCATCTCGAGAATTTTTACTTTAAGACTACTTTTTTTGCCGATTTAAGTTTAAAGAAGTAAGCCTACTCCTACATATCTGGAGAATTTTCACCTTGGGGTTAAATTTTTTGCCAAGGTAAGTATGAAGAAATGACGTTGAAATGACGTTCGTTACGAGTTGATTTGTTTGGAAGCCCTCTTCGGAGCAGTTCTATCACGGAGACTCCGAGGGCAATCGAGTAAGCCTACTCCTACATATCTGGAGAATTTTTACCTTGGGGTTAAATTTTGTTGCCAAGGTAAGTATAAAGAAATGACGTTGAAACGACGTTCATTACGAGTTGATTTGTTTGGAAGCCTTCTTCCGAGCAGTTCTATTATGAAAAGTCCGAGAGCAATTGAGACTGCACGGCGACGCTGCGTTCGCCGGGCAAGGTATCGTGTACGAGACCTTCCACTTGTCTGACTTGCCGGACTACACCACCCACGGCACCGTGCACATCGTGTGCAACAACCAGATTGGCTTCACTACTGATCCTCGACACTCACGATCATCTCCATACTGCACTGGTGAGACCCTTGAATATTTGCTTAACTTTACCCTTTTATTTGCAGCGCCTTGGTATTTTCAGCATTGAGATCTTTCTAAAGCAACATTGAGACAGCTGTAACGTATTTGTCTGGTGAACTTTTATTAACTTCACTGGAGGTTTTTATTAAATTGTCATGAATCTTTAGTGCCTAATTTATGAAAGAATACGAAATTTAGTAAAAAAAAATCGTAAAGCTCCTCTATAGCGCTACAAAATATTGTCGATTAAATAGATTAGTTTTTTTACGCAAATTATGAGTTAGAATGAAAAATTCGGTTTGTCTATTGATTAAATACTTTATAATAAGAGACTGCAAAATTTTGTTCCATTGTGTGCAGAAATATGAGAATAATTTCTAAATTATGAAATAAAAAAACGTTAACAAAATTTTTAGGTAGGAGAAAGTCACAAATCATCAAATGGTTTATGAAGACCTCATAAACCGACAAGAATAATCACATCGTGTTATTAAGGGCGCTCAATTGTTGTATGCAATTAACCAATAAATAAAGCAAGAGCACTCGTGTGCAGATGTGGCCCGTGTGGTGAACGCTCCCATCTTCCACGTGAACGCCGACGACCCTGAAGCGGTGATGTATGTCTGCGACGTCGCAGCTGAATGGCGTCACCAGTTCCACAAGGTCCGTGTTTCATCTCACTAAATGCCAGCTATTCCATAAACTAGCTTGCTATCATTACAGAAGACATTGTTGAATGATCAAATTGTTAATCTACTCGATCGCATTATGTTATATTTCTAATAGATCCAATTAGATTCACAAGTATCTTGGAACATAGACATTGCTTGCTATAATGAGCAAATTAAAAGTCTGTTATATGCTACGGCCTTTCTTTATAGTCTTATTCTGATGATTAATGTAGATATTGTCTTTTGCTTATTGACAAAGTAGATTGTACGTTGTTTACATTGCACTCATGAGTGCATTTTTGCCCTACTATATTTTTTATCGTTTTTATTATAATTATCAAGCATCATGCCTAAGTAGCATGAATAACAAATATAAATATCATAAAGATGAGAAACCACACAGGACACATCGTATATGCACGAAAATCCTGCTAAATGCTTAGATAATGTGAAACTCTAAACGAATTTTTCTGTATTCATCGAATACTAGATTATCCTCTTCATTCTTTTAAGATTCAAGAAATAGGCGTTAATGTATCTAAACAATTATTGTTTTGATTTTACAGCTCAAAACATTTTCTACATAACCTTATTTAAATTGAATCACATGAATTTATGAAAGTAATTTTGTCTGAACTTACTGATATTTTATGCATGCTCGGATCCGGATCCACTTCATGTTGAAGCTCATTTTTTTCAGAGCTTGATGTCGTTAATTCTCTGTTCCTCCCTTGTGGTGCTATTTCTACATTTATTTAAAGATCAGTGTATTTCAGTAGAAAAAAAATTTTCTTTTTACCAGAACAGGAACGGATTATTGCTGCGAACTGCAGCTGACATTGGCTTACAGATCCAACAGAATTTATTCAGTAGTCCGTCATTCATAGACTTGGTTGTATAATCCATTTTATTATAAACTCAACAGGACGTGGTCATTGACTTGGTTTGCTATCGTCGCAATGGGCACAACGAGATCGACGAGCCCATGTTTACACAGCCGCTCATGTATTCAAAAATTCGCAACCTCAAGCCAGTGTTGGACAAGTACGCAAAGCAGCTCATCGACGAAGGAGTAGTCACTGATGCTGAAGTCAAGGTATTATAACTGTCCTGCGTTGGTGCAAAATAAAATGACTCGGTTGACGTCAGTAGTTTCTTTTATCATATGACTTTCTTGTATATAATTGATCATTATAATTTTTGATCCATATTTCTTCGCTGCATTGGTTTCTTTTCACAATGGTGCCAATCCATTCGTGATACTTGAAGTTTGCAAGATACTGGCGATGTTAAGCGTGATCCAATTTTTGATATGGCTGCTAAATTTTTTATGTTTTCAATGCAAATGCCGTAGATGGAGTCTCATAAAAGATATTTAGCTTTTTCGTCCAGAACTTGGATCTTCATTGGCATGTACCTCTTTGAAAAGCATGGGGTGCGGTTGAGTCTTGAATTATTTATATATTCAAATAGTTTCTGTAATGGTTTGGGCTCGCTGGAGTCACCTTGCTCATTTTATAATGTACCGAGGAAATTGTCATTTAATTGATGTTAGCAAAAATGTAATATTTTTCTATTAATCAGGACGTGAAAGACAAGTACGATCGTATCCTGGAAGAGGCTATGAACAACGCTAAGCAGGAGACGCAGGTCTACAACAAGCACTGGCTCGACTCCCCCTGGTCCGGCTTCTTCGAGGGCAAGGACCCCCTCAAGCTGCCCCCTACTGGTAATTGAAAACTCTCGCCTTTGAGTTTGCTTTGACCGTCAATTTATTTATGCCTAAGGTTTCTAGAAAATGCGATCTAGATGAATCGCAGTGAAGGTTGTTGTCGAAGAGAACAGATTATATCATATGTGTTAAATGCCTAACGATTTTGATCAATTATTTGGAAGGAGCTTCCATACGATTGTTGCGTATATTAATATCCTTTCCATGAAATCTGTCGACGCAATCAGACAAATGGATGAATATCTAATTTCCCGGTGTAAAGTTGATGTATAACTACTGTATGCAGGTTAATTTGATTATTGAAATTACAAAAAAAATTTCGACATTTAATCATGGTTAGTTTATAACATGAATTAATGCATGGTTGTCTGGAATACAATGGAACTGCTATTAAAAAGTCTACTGCTGAAAAATATCTTGACTATACTAATTTACAACATGAATTCATGCATGGTTTCCTGGAATACAATGGAACTTCTATTAGAAAGTCTGCTGCTGAAAAATATCTTGACTACTAATTTACACTTGAATGCAAATTATACGAGTAGATGTTCACAACTTACACTTCGCAGGAGTTCACGAAGACACACTGAAGCACGTGGGTAAGCGCTTCTCGCAGCCTCCTCCCAACGCCAGCGACTTCCAGATCCACCGCGGCCTGCAGCGTATCCTTAGCAGTGAGTTATCTCAACTGCTACATGCATGCCATTCTAATATGCTTCGCATATTATTTGTTTAGTTCAAAGCATTAGCTACATGCATGCCATTCTAATATGCTTCGCATATTATTTGTTAGTTCAAAGCAGTAAATTTTGCTGTTGGTTGTTGCCTTTTACTTTGAGCCACTTGGAGGGGTTGGACTATGGGAAACACCTGGCATTTTGATATCGTATTTTTGAACATGTTAGAAACTATGAAAACATGACCTATTTCTATGTTTTATTTTTGCTGCTAATTGATATTTTATCCTTGCACAGACATTTTTAGTGAATTTTTGTGTCTATAACCTAACCTATAAATGGTAAACTTCTGTGACTTTCAAAGAGGCCAAATTGTTGGTGCCCGTATGGCAGGTGCTAGTGTGATAGCAACTTTCCGAAAGCTTGATGTTTCTAAAGGTACTGTCTCAAAAGTAACCACTGCTTTTGAAAGAGAAGGAAAAACGTCCTCAGTAAAGCACAGGTCTGGCCAAAAGTCGAAGTTGTCGGAGAGAGACCGTCGGTACCTAAATCTAATTGTGAGGGACAATCGAATGACCACGGCTGTTTAAAATTGGTCTCTCGAGCAGTAGAAAAATGGGATTTTCTCTGACGAATCATCGTTTTCCTTATTTATAACCTCTGGTCAAGTTTACGTTTGGGGACGTCAAAAACGTCATTTAATCCCGATTTCCTCCTCTCAACCGTAAAACATGGCGGGAAAACTGTGATAATCTGGGGTGCTATTTCTTGGAAATCCGGCGGACCAATGATTTCTCTTCATGGAAGAATAAAACAGCCGTGACTATCTAGGAATTTTGGAGGACCTAGATCGTCCTATGGTTCAAGCATTGTTTCCGTAAGGGAACGCCATCTTTTGAGATGATAATTCCCCGATCCATGCAGCTGGAATTGTTAAAAAATGACACAAGGAAAATTTTAATGAAGTTGAGCATCTCATTTGGCCACCACAATCACCGTACCTAAATATTATCGAGCATTTTATCGAGCATTTACGGTCGATTTTAGAGATGCAAGTCAGAAGTCGATTCCCGCCGCCATCGTCTTTAAAAGAGCTGGATGGAGTTTTAACTGAAGAATAGGTTAAAATTCCTTTGCAGTCAATTATCAATTTGTGCAAATCAATATTTAGGAGAATTGAGGCTGTAATTGCCGTAAAAGGTGGACCTACACCATACTATACCGTAATATATTTTGTGGATTTCTCAGGTCAGTTTTCCTTTTATTTTGTCAAACCACTATACAAGGAATCATAGCATAGCATAGTGAAGTCGGCGCTGAAGAATAAGCCTGACGTAGCCTATCGCCGATTCTTGTACTTTTCGTGACTTGTCCATACGAGATCTAAAAACAGGTCCTTCTACCGGATCTTTTCCAAACTGTCGATAACAGATAGTTTTAACAGAAGAATGGGTTAAAATTCTTTTGGAAACTATTCACCATTTGTATGAATCAATATCTCGGAGAAGTGAAGTTGTAATTGCCGCAAAAGGAGGACCTACGCCATCCTAAAATATATTTTGTGGATTTCTCAGTTGTTTCCCTAATTGTTAGACTTAACCCATGTATATGCCTTGTGTTCGAGTTAGTTTGGGCCTTGTGTTATATATAACTGAGTCATCACCTTGTATACGCTGTTATTTCATAGTACCTTGCATGATATCTTTATTGATGCAACTCCGGGCATAACTGAAAATCTTGTGTCTAAGGTCGAATGGAAATGGTTGAAGACCGCACGGCTGACTGGGCTCTGGCGGAGGCTATGGCATTCGGATCTCTTTTGAAGCAAGGAACCCACGTGAGGTTGTCAGGCCAAGACGTAGAGAGAGGCACCTTCTCTCATCGGCATCACATCCTTCATCATCAGAAGGTACGCGATTGCCAGGATGAGAATAACGTCGCTAGCGCTTACGACCACAAATCGCCTCGTTGTTGTGGTAACAGTGCAGCACTGGATTCCGGAGGTCGTTGGAACTCCGTTGATAATCTCAGTGTGCCATTTACCAGCGACATTAATGCGTGTACGTCCAAAGATGCTTTGCATTTCATCGCTCGTTCTGATGCTGAGCACATCTTCCGGGAGGTCGCCTCTCACAAGCTCGTCACCATTGACCCTGCTGAGCCAAGTCTTGGTGGCCTCAGACGAGCGTTGAACGTTAATCACGTTGCAGGGGGTTCAGTGAAGGCCAGAAAAACGGAGGTGAACACGTATTTCACTCTTTTTTCTATTTAACTTTTTACCAAACCTCTCACCAATTGAAAAAGTTTGAGAAAAATCACTCCTATTGACTCACTGTTTTCCGAAAACCAAACACTGTAACAAATGCCTATCGTTTGCTGTTGATCACATAAACTTTTTATGTTTTTTTTTTGTCGGCTGTCATTTAATATTTTGTCGAGTGACGGTTTTCAACTCGAAATTACTACATTTGTTGAAATCGTCATGAATTTAAGCGTGTTTTTATACGCAGTTTTTGTTTAATTTTGTTATCCCACTTCTCGGCTGAGATTTTCATCTTTTTTCACTCGTACGTTTGACTGTACACCTTCACTGAATCAACTGCACTACGTGGAGTGTCTTCCGTCTCCTGATGGTGTATTTAATCTCAAAGTGTTCGTGACCTCCTATAATAAGTTTTGATACATCATTGTCGGATACTTATTTGTTAGATGGTAAACTTTGTAAATGTTTTGAAAGTTTCTCCCTTTTTCAGAAGTTATCTCCTTGTCATAATTTTTTCAAGTAAATCTTTGTTTTCCTTGAAATACTGAACTTTTGGGTTGCATCGTTCAGTATAAATATCCATATTAACGGATTTTAAAAAGGTTGCTTCAATTCTCGTTACGTAGTAGTATCAATGGTATAAATTCTCCTGCCGATAATGTTATTTTCTCCAGCTACTTTCCTTTACTTACATCGTTAAGTAGGAAACTTCTTTTTTATTGTAGTAGAGATTCATAGTGCCAAACTTACGCCATAAAAACATGCTTATATTGGATACAGAGTCATTCTGTAATCAAATGGCTGACAGGTTTACTTTCTTCCATAGGTGGACAAGTCCAAGTATAATGTCCTTGCCAACCTGTACCCCGACCAAGCGCCATACACGGTGTGCAACTCCTCGCTCTCAGAGTACGCGGTGCTCGGGTTTGAGCTCGGCTTCTCTATGACCAATCCTAACGCTTTGGTTTGCTGGGAAGCTCAGTTTGGTGACTTCAACAACACCGCTCAATGTATCATCGATCAGTTCATCTCTTCGGGACAAAGCAAATGGATCCGGCAGAGCGGTCTTGTCATGCTATTGCCTCATGGCATGGAAGGAATGGCGAGTTAATCATAGTTGTAGGCAAAATAAAAGAAAGCCTTGACTTTAAATTAGGAAAATTTATGTAAGGGAAAAATTAATACTTTCAATTTGTGTGTTAGGAAATTAAAAATAATATAATAATCATAAAAATTTGTCATTTGAAATGTTATTCTTTTTACAATGTCAGTTTTGTAATTTTCAGTAATTTTTCATATTTAGTGTCTCACAGCGTCCTGTTTTCATCTTCCTATGATTCTATCTATAAGTCATCTTTCCGCGCTTGGCAATGTCTTCCTACTAATTTTTTATCGTGTCTGAAGGGCCGCGAATACTCGTTGTACCTTATTTAATTCTTATTTGTGTTATGTGAATGAAGGATTCAGAACACCAATAGTGTATTCCTATTTAATTATATTTATTTTGTTCACGAAGGGCCCCGAACACTCGAGCGCTCGCCTTGAACGTTTCCTCCAGATGACTTCTGATGATCCTGATGTGCTGCCGGCCTTCTCGGATCTTAATATCAGACAGCTCACGGATATCAACTGGATCGTGAGTAACATTCCGTTGTGTACTTGAGTTTCCTGACCGTGATATTACGCGATCCTAATCCTAACATATAAACTACCATGAAATGGCAGGGACTCCGGACAGCAGCTTTTGAAATGCAATACACTAACTCTCCACACTTAGGCACAAAGAAGTGCGATTGACGCAATGTTTATTTATTCAATACGTTCGCGCAAATTGATTGCGATAATGCCATATTACTAAACGGAAATTCATTATATTCCTAATGTAATTTTATGTAAGTCTATTAATATTTGTAATTGATATTATCATAAAATGAACACCTTGGAATCGTTCAAAGCATCGAGTTGATGCCCACTACCCTAGTCCGAAATTTTAATTATTATTGTAATTCGTAACATATGGAAACCTTTGATACATCTCTGTATTGCAGGTTGCCAACTGCAGCACTCCTGCCAACTACTTCCACATTCTGCGCCGTCAAATTCTGTTGCCTTTCCGTAAGCAGTTCAAAGCATCGAGTTGATGCCCACTACCCTAGTTCGAAATTTTAATCATTATTGTAATTCGTAACATATGGAAACCATTGATACATCTCTGTATTGCAGGTTGCCAACTGCAGCACTCCTGCCAACTACTTCCACATTCTGCGCCGTCAAATTCTGTTGCCTTTCCGTAAGCCTCTCATCCTGATGACACCCAAGAGCCTCCTGAGGCATCCTGAAGCCAAGAGCAGCTTTGACCTCATGACTGAGGGAACAGAGTTCCTCAGGTAATCTTAACAACATTCAAATTTATTTTCGCAAGGAATATTCCCTTCCTGTTATTCTAATGTGTCTTAGAGTGCGATAACTTAACATCTTTAACCCATGAAATTGTTCATCTGTTATTTGTTTGTTCCACAATATCCAATGGAAAATAGGTCCTGTAAACCAGGTTGATTTTGCTATGTACCGGTATTCAAAAAGCTGCTTGTGAACTCATAAGAATTATTTTAAGTCTTTCTACGTGTTTTCATTTTTCTCACCTAGAAGCAAAGGTGAATTGTTGGTATTTGTGAAGTTCTTGAAATGTCTGAAGACTTAATTGTAATTTTTTTTAAGAATGCTCACGCTGTAACTTGAATTCAGTTAAATTATATGAATTTATGTGTGAGAATACTATTAATTTATATGTAGAACTATTCTGAATCCCAAGCTCGTGTTCTTGCAACTTCGAAGCACATTTTGCATACCATAATACTAATATATGTTTGGCAATGCTGTACTTCTGTAAGCAGTATTGGCATTACCAAGCAGTCGCTGCAAGAAATGATAACGAATTCCATTATATCCTTATCTTCAAGTCACAGAGAATCGGCCAAGCTTAGTATGGACCTTAATAACTTTGATGACCTAAACATAATAATTACGTGTGTATACAGTATCTTGAGCAAAGCTAAACACGAAAAGCTAAGTTCACATCCAGCTTCGTAGTGATAAACTTATGCAAGCTAGACGTATTACCATGTCAACGCTTAATAACTGTTAATATGACCTCCAGATTGATCCCCGATGAAGGCCCTGCAGCTGCAAACGCTTCGAACGTCAAGCGCCTGATTTTCTGCACGGGCAGAGTCTACTATGACCTCACGGCCGCCAGAAAAGAAGCTGGTCTCGAGGACAGCATTGCTATTGTCAGGGTCGAGCAGGTGTGAACTCGGACTAATATAAATGCAGACATCTCAGTTTAAAATCTTGCTTGCTTGTCACTCATAGCAATGTACTTTGAACTCATTCCCTTTGTGGGTGATAAGTGTTTTTTTTTACCAACGAAACCTTCCTTGTTGGTGATTACTTTCATTTAACGTCTGATGGAGTATGATTTCATTGATGCGCTGGAAAACTTGTTCACTACTCTTATGCTATACTGGTAATATCCCTCACACTCGATATTTTCTATTATGTTTTTATGTTAGACAAAAATTTATCTTTTCAATTTTCTTCTCGTATTGCAGTTGCATACACGAAATGGTTCTTCAAACGTTTGCTTCATGCTTATTTTTTTAGCATATTCTATGTTCATATTTCTGTAATCAGATGCAAAACAGTTATATTATCTACATTCACATGCATAATAGAACAACACCATTTTTATAATCAATTCGATTGTTCTCAGATCGCTTCTGAGCATATTCTATGTTCATGTTTCTGTAATCAGATGCAAAACAGTTATATTATCTACATTCACATACATAATAGAACAACACCATTTTATAATCTATTCTATTGTTCTCAGATCGCTCCGTTCCCTTATGACCTCGTGAAGGCTGAGTGCGAGAAGTACGGTGGAGCTGAGCTGCTGTGGGCGCAGGAGGAGCATAAGAACAGCGGCGCCTGGAGTTATGTGCAGCCTCGCTTCAACACGCTTCTCGCTCACTCCAGACCCGTTTCGTGAGTATCACGTCTTCTTGTGATGATGGACATACGTTATGGGATCTGGGGCCATACTTTCAAAACTCGCTAAGTGAACGTAAGTACTTACGCTCTATTTTTTCATCTATGGTTGGTGGATTTTGCTTGAAAGGCCGTCAATGATTGGCTGATGAACTTACGATCTCTTAACTTTTTGAAAGTATAGGCCCAGATGTGTAACTCAGAGGCAACGTTTTGAGAGGAAAACGGATGAGAGCAGTCTAGCCTTGATATCATTTCAGCTCACCTAAAAGTCAATTTATTTGTTCGTCGTACTTACTGGCATTTCGCGTTAGGATTTCGTGGACCTAAACGGTGAAAATATACTACAGGAACGTGTTAACGTCGAGTTCTCTAGGAGAACAATCAGCAAGACAATTATCGAGCACTTCAGTAGTTGGTGAGATGCACATACGGCTTTTTTCAATTGGAGCAATATGGTATCATAGGAAATTTAAGTAAAAAAAACTAAACGCAGTGTTCATATCTTTGGCAAAACCAAGAAATCTCTTCAATTTACCTCATGAAATTATGAGATTACTTTATAGAATGACACAAATCTTCATCCCGGGTACCATAAAATTGGCTCATGAAATCCTGAGATTAAACATAAATCCTTTTTGTAAGAAAAAACACAAATGTCTGATGGTCCTGCAATGTATTTCGATGCAACTTCGCAATTTTATGCAGAGTTCTTGGAATATCCTGAGCAAATTTGCATTACCGATTTAAGCCGTTGCCTCTATGAGTTTTGCAGCGCCGCCTCGTATCATGGAGCTGCTGCTGGGGTTGGGTTTTAGAGGTTACGATTGTAACCTTTCACGGGTCCGGGCTCTGTCTGGATATATTCTCGATATACTACAGTAAAAAATTAGATAAATCATTCACTTCATTTTCATCGTTCAGGAAATGTGTGTGTGCTTTGTTGTAATGAGGATTTATCGAGTTGTTGATGCTGAAAGTTTTGACTACCTTATAAAACTGATTTATTTTTAGACTTGATTAGGTCGTCTTGTGTTTTCCGGCTAATAGTTGCTGTCTTTTCTTTTCATGCACTCATTTGCTGTTGCTGATGGCGTTTACTCAACCTTGACGCTATCAATGAGTGACTCCTCCTTTTGGGGTGCTGACAAAATCTTTCTCTTTTCATTTTTCTTTGACTTGATCATTTGGTTTCAAACTTCCTGCACTCGCTATCTTCCTTATTGACCATCACACGATTTAAAACTTCATTTTAGCACGACATTGAAATCGCGCAAGCAAATCTTAAAACAGTTCCTCTATTTCCACAATTAGCTCGCTTAATTCTCAACCGCGGGCTGACGATAGAAAACCCGCTTCTCTCGACAAGCAGTCGTGGTATGAAACCTGGCTTGCTTACCTCTTCCCAAGTTCGAAATCAGAAACTGAGGAGGCAAACACATCTTCCTCCTTGAAACATGTCGACTTTGATGAAAGCCGTACATTGAGTTCCTCTTTGGCCCCTAATGTTGACGCTGTGGCTAAGAACGCTCAAATATCAGGAGTGATCAGGTTAGGAATGTTGCAGCACTCAAGTTGGTTATTTGTTTGATTTATTACAGTCTGTTGGTTTCTTGGTCTGTTGCCAGAACTGCAATGACGGCATGTGTGGTAGTGGAATCTGAGAAACAATCTTGAAAAATTTAGTTTTAATTTCAAGTTTATGTCCAATTATGGAAGTATTGATTATATTTTTGTTAACCTCTGGTTGTCTCTTTCTTCATAATCAATTTAGAATTTTTGAGCCTGGCATATATATACCTTTTTTTCGGAAGTGTCGAATATTAGTAAGCAAAAATTTTATTCTGTGCTGTAATTCCCTTCAGATTTGCGGAATTTTTAAGAAACTCTTCTAAACATCCTTAAAGTTTTCAAAGTGTATATATTTTGTTAAACTATAAACTTGATGGTTAACGTGAGAGATATATGTGGTATTATATTCACAACTTTTTCAGGTCTCGCTTTAACTTGTTTTTTGTGCATAATATATTCACTTAGCAACGGTGTTCTCGCATTATTATCACAGTGATTATAAAATCTCATATGCTGTATTTCCCTCCTTCAGATACGCTGGACGTCCCGTTTCTCCCTCGACTGCAACGGGCAACAAGAAGACTCATATGAGAGAAGTGAAGAACCTGCTCGCTGATGCCCTTGGTACTCGCTAACTTCTTGAAGCCACCAATGTTTCACATCGATGGTCTGGCTACAGTCATAGGACTTTTCGGTTCATACTTTTTTCCAACTATTGATGGATGTTGATGTTCCCAAATTGAAAATCAAACCGTGATATTACTCAGAACTATATCCACGTAGGATTGATGCATCTGTTCGCACGCCACGACTTCGATATAGATTTGTTTGTTCGAAATCATTTGTGATAGCTTAGGCATTCTACATACATATAGATTATCATAAAACCAACCTAGAACTAGCACGTCTCTGGCTTGCTGGTCATCTTAGTTTAGTGCTTTGGTGCATTTCATTCAGTATTGCGGCGCAAAGTTGGGGATATTATTAGATGCCAAGCATCAAATTACGATAAAAATCTTGCCATCAGACATAATTCAGGTAAGCTCATGAAAAATATGCCTATAATTATTAAGCTTGTTCTCCTTGCCTATGAAATTAGTTTAGATGGGAAGGATAGTTGCTGAAGTTGATTGATTAGAATACATGCTAAACGCGGGTACATTTTTTTTCGCGATGGTTCTTCTATTTTATTTCACCTTAATGTTTTTTAGTGAAAATTAAAGCCAAAGGGTTCTTAATTTCTTAGTAGATTCGCAAGTATTTGGTCATGATAATCATATTAATAAAATTGGAACAGTACCACTGTTATTATCATGCCTGATGAAATATTGACTGAAATATTAATAAAAATGTGTAGGTCATTTAATTTTATCTCACATAATGTGCACAAACTAATTTGCATTATTTGCTTGGGATAATAGGCTCGAACTAATTACCGTCATCGAAGAAGAACCACAGCTAGCAGCATCATAGTAATAAGCAAGATTTTTTCTGGTCGTACAGTTTTCCTGATCTTTGGTTTTAGTTCTATTAATTCGAAGAGGAGAATATTATTTAATACATGAATTGGAGCGACTCGTCGAACTACCTAATACTGTAGAAACTTACAGATGTCGTTGGCGATGATGGATATTTTTGCATCTATGATAACGGTTGTTTCATGAAACTCTGCCTAGTGGAAGATCAGTGGAGATATGACATAATATTTACGGCATTGCTTGTCAAGGATGCCAGTCTTTTCATACGAGATGCTGATGTTGAAATGTACAGTTGTTCGCCTTACCTTTTTCTGTAGATATTTCTGTGTCAAATTATTTATTGTTCCGCGTTCATGATCATTTTCTGTTGTGTTATGAGTATCTGGTACAGAATATTAATTACGAGACAGGGAAAGGTGTAGTCAGTTATTCAATTTTGCTTTGTACATGTAGATAGCTAGAAGTGATAATATTCTTTAAGTTCCTATATGTAACTAGGTATCAGTACTTCGTTCTTTATTGCGATCTGTATCAAGGCTTGCTTGCTATTTACTTCAGCATAAATATTCATAGCAAAACTTGGCATTTCAAGGTAGTACAAAATTATCCTCTTCTCTCTTGCCCGCACTATTTGGTTACGTGACGAGAAAAAATTTCATATAGTTGTCTTGGCTGCAAAAGTTTCTTAATTCGCAATTTCATGATTTAACTTGCTTCTAATCACTATGCTAGGGAAACCTTATATTTATTAGGGCCTTTCATAACCTAGTTACTTATAATTTTGCTATTTGTGGAACCATTTGCCGGATTTTCCACCATTCAATTGGCCGTTTGCTAATGTTGGCAGTGTGCACTCATTATATGAAGTGATCATAGAAATATATTCTGCTGTAAATCGTTCTATTCTCCTTTTTGCACCTGGTTAGATACATGTCCAGCGACTTGCTGCAAGTCAAGTTTCGAAAACTACCTACTGTTTTATCTCCAAGGCTAATTTTAAACAAATAAATGTTAGAATTTGTGTGTTTGAATGAAAATTGTAAATTTTAATTTCAATTTATTTACGCAGCAACTATATGACGACGGATAATTTCTGAAATGGTAACTTCTTATGCATAATAATGACGGTGGGACTCAAGCTTGTGCAGCGGGGCCGAAGCGTATAAATTGACCTATAATTGCAGAACTTTCTTCATTCGCAATTTCATGATTTAACTTGCTTCTAATCACTATGCTAGGGAAACCTTCAAAATGCTTCAAAATGAAATTCAATGCAATTTTTATGATTTCTACTTGAATTATTAACTAATTACATTGATAAGGGAAGAACATGAGAGAAAGCTATATACACACTACAATCGATAGAGGGATTGGGGTAACTGCAGCGTTGGGGACTAACAGAATTTTTATTTTATTGTCGAAGAATAAAAAAAGTCAACTGATACTGCGAGTACTACGTATATACTCAAACAACTGAAGGGCCGAAGTAAATTTGGCGCCGTAAAACGTAAAAGGTTCTACTACGCTAAAACAGACGAAAAAAAAATTTATAATTAGAAGCCTAAAACCAAAATTCAAATAGAGCAGCTAGTTGAGAGATGAAAGTAAGTACGAAAACTTCGGTCGAAATCGGCAATGCGGCCAAATCGGTAACAGACCAACATGGTCTAATAAAATCTAAAATGATTATGTTATATAATACCATGAATAAAACTCATTGTGCATGGGGAGTGAACTGCAAGAGCATAGCTGTGGCGACCGTTGCATAAACGCTGGTTTTGCATAATAAGGCGCCACATTCGATTCCAAGGTTCCTAACTTTGAGATAGTGAATATCAAATGAAAGAAAACTAAATTGTTCTGAAAAGTCTTGAATAGATGAACGTAACATATGCTCTGCTCACTAACTTTCAAAACCTATGACTTAGTTTTCGAAATCGAAACGCAACTAGCTTCCATCAGTATTCAAGATAACGCAGGATTGAATCATGCGCATGATTCTATGTACCTGCAAATTTGATGGAATTAGCAACCGATATCTGAAGTGTGGTATACGAAAAAGATATCAAGACCCTCGATATATATCATATTTATACTCTCAATATTCAAAGATACTTCCAAATTACGAGAAATATTTCTTTGTAACGCATGGGTTACAGTTTTATAGAATAGAAGCGTGACTCAAGTGTCGCCACTGAAGAAATAGGCCCATGGCCTGTTGCCGGTTCTTGTACTTTTCGTGACTTGATTCACAAGGGATGGCCTTTGGAACCCGATCTTTCCATAACTGACGATTGATTGAGATAGCTGCTGGACTTATTGCCTGGTCCGTAAATTGCTAGGCATTTTAAGACTATAGCGTCGTTGACGTTAAGCGATCCCAGCTTGCACAATTTACAAATTTCTCCTCGCTCATTTTGCAATTTGATCTTCGAATTCGGTTTAACAGGACTGGAGGCCTTCTCATTTAATTTTTTTCCTCGCTGACCAGCCATCATGAAATGCAAGAACCAAAGAAAAAACACAATTTTAAAACTGAAACAAGTTAAGTAAAAATTGTAAAGTTTCAAAGGGCTGTAAAAACTCGGTTACAGACTTGAGAATAAGCGGCTGTAAAAGGTGTCAGGGTAGAGGAGGTAGCTTGGCCACAGAAACAAGGGCTCTATTGTTCTACGCTGGCGGGGCAGTGCTGCACGTTGCCCTCGCCTGGCCTGTTTGCGTCCCTCGTTGACTCTTGATCGCGTTATTTCAGATGGAAACACTTTTACTATAGGCTTTTTTTCTATTTGCACTCTATTTTACTGACTTCACTGAAAATTCAGTCATTCACTGACACGGATCATAAAAAAATGCAAAAAGAGTTCCGAAAACGGCACAGTTAAAGTTAAAAGTTGAAAATCTGGGACCGCAAAACACGAGCGTCCGCTCTCGACCACGGCTGAAACTTGACTCTCATGTCGCTGACTCGAAGCGAGAAGAAATGTTGTCGCATGGATGTGTTACAACGCAATTTTTTTAGTTTATAGCCGTGGCCCCTGGTGTTGGTTCTTGTTTCAAATTCTAGTAATCCTTCTGGGACCTTGTATAAGCCATGAGTATACTTGTACCATGCTTCAATGAGTTCCCTACGCAGGCGTCGATAACTGAGGCTTGGAAGCTTCATAATCTTTAATCTTTCCTCATAGGACTTGCCTTTCAAGGCCGGAGTTATCCTTGTTGCGAGTCTTTGAACACTCTCGATTTAATTTTTGTCTTTTTCAAGTTTCGGTGACCACACGACGTTTCCAAACTCTAGGTTCGGGCGCACGACAGCAACAAACAACTGCTTCATCTCTTCTGCCTCTAGGAACTCGAAAGAGCGTCTGATCAATCCAAGTCGTTTATTGGCTTTATTAACTTGACCTTCAATATGCTTAGAAAATTTCAACTCATTGTCGATATTAACTCTTAAATCTTTTTCCATTGTCAACTTCGACATCATCACTCTGTCGTTGCAACCGTGTCTTATCGTACTGTAATCTTGCTGCTAATTATTCATGCCAAGGTAGATTACTTTAGATTTGTCAAAACAACTCCGTCGTGATCGGCTGAGCCGCGTAGGATTTTTTGGGTTGCGTGCTTGACTTCAACAACTCCCAACTCGACACTTCACTTCCCAACTCTTTCCGAGGATCAGCATGCCATAGCACTTGAAATTATGTGGTTAAAGCCATATAAGCCGTATATATATGGTTAATCCATAAACCTGGGCTCACTTCAAAAAATGTAGGCCAAGCATGCGATACCTTACCACAGCTCCACCTAAACCTAGCCAACGAGGACCTGATCTCGCGTCCGCCGTCGTTCGCTCCGACAAGGTACGTAGCATGGGATGTCAGAAGGTACGTACCAGTACGGGATATGAGAGTAGGTAGGGTCAATATGGTTTATATTGGTAAAGTGGTACATGAAGCAAGCCCATTCGTAGGACGATTTTGTGCTTCTTACAGGCGGCTCCAGACCAGGCTCATGGCTCTAAGGTTGAGTAGCGTACAAGCTTTTGTGTGGGAGTGAAATTTGACGCTAAGCCAGCGTACTGATTAAGCGAAAAATTTGTGGCTCAAGCTGCACCTCGATGATCGATCTTCTAACTAAAACTATCTTCACCTGGAATTTAATTCTGAAACGCGATGGAGGTAATTAGTAACGAGACGTAATCGAATCATTGCGCTGAGCTAGCCTATACCCCCTCCTCTAGTAATCATAGGGTCACTAAACTAACTAGACCCCCTCCAGCCAATTAGTTCATCGCATCCAACTTATGCAAATCGCGAAGTAGTATGTCGGGCATTTAATATTATATAGCAAGCGAAAACAGAATACGCAACTTGAAACATAATCCAATTGGGACTAAGAGGTTAAAAATATTAAATTTCTCATCAGTTGTAGGCGTCGAAAATGAGCCATGAGGACCGGTTGGGTTCATGAAAATCTTCACTGTATAATAAGTTTTTGGCTGACGTGAAAAGCATGAGGTCGAGAATTTCCCATACCTGTAAAGACAGTCGTCCAGGTGATGTTGAATCAGCGTTCGCAACTGGCTCGTAGTTGACTCAGGTAGAGTATCAAGCACAAACCCTTGCAGAAACGCACCGTCCAGGCAGAACACAGTAGCAGACATAAAATACATGTGCCTAGTACGGAGTGAGAAGAGAGTCAGCATCAGAAACTTCGTCTTGGAAACCCCAGAAGCTTTGAAGACGCCTACGTCAAACTCCACAACTGTAATCTGGGAAACTAAGCGAATTAGAGAAGACCAGCAGGTCATACGTTCTTCTTCTGAAGAAGAAATTTGCAGAAAACGGGAATGAATTGGCGGTATCGATTTCAAATCTAAGTGAATGCAGACTAATATGCCCATGGTAATATCAAATAATAAATTATAAAATTATTACTGTCTTATCTTCTTATAGGTAGAGCATAACGTAAAAATTGAAGAGATGTTCTTTGCAAGATAACTGACTACATGATCAATATATTATTAGTTTTATGTATTCATAAATTTTATATATAGCATGCAGAGTTTTTCAGCAGCATAGTGAAATGTAAACGTGGCAAAACAAAAATGACAAACCACGAATCAATGAACAATAGAACGTCTATAAATTTCAATATATGAAAACCACGAATCAATGAACAATAGAACGTCTATAAATTTCAATATATGATTTATATATTCAGCTGATACCATAGTTGTCACACGTGTATTATACAAAGAATACACGCGTGTTTCCAATAAATACGATCTCTTACATGACCACGAAGACAGAAAGGCAACAAACAAGCTTCTAAGCGCTCTTTCAAGTACATATATACACTGTTAGAAAAAACGGTGAAAAAACGGTCCCACCGGCATCATAGTGACCGGTCGCCTCGTGAAAATAAACTGTTTCGCCGTTTTTATCAGATGTTTTACGTATTTCTGGTGTTAAATTGGAATAATAACGGTAAAACGGTGTTTCTTTTCACGTGCCGACCGGCCACTGAAACGCCGGTATTACCGTTAACGGTCATTTTTCTAACAGTGTAAAGCTTTTATATTCTCCAAGTGGCCCAAGAATCCATAGTAAAGAAATAAATCCTACATCACTCAAGCGCAAATTTCAGGCACATATTTGATCCTCGCTGCTTGTGCTAAATGCCCGACTATGGACGAGATAAGACTTGATTTGTGTTTACTTTACATGACATGATTGATACAGCGTAATGATAGATATACTGTATACATATGCTTTATACTCCGGTTTTACATGGTAATATCTCATACCTACGTGTAAAATTACACAGTCTTACGGAACGTAAAATGGAATTATCAGGAAGGTGTCAAAAAGTACCCCAGTCGCGAAAAAGTAGTATAGGAAACACGATCGCGGGGCTTAAATTCTTGCATTAATAGTTTAGCTGAAAAAAATAGGATTTACAATTGAATCGTGGCAAATTTTGGCAGTTGATGATTTGGTGTTGTTGAGTTGTTAAAAAATAAAAAAAGAGTAAAAAGAAAGAATCCACGAAAGAGTAGTAGGAAACACGATTGCGGGGCTTAAATTCTTGCGTTAATAGTTTAGCTAAAAAAATTTGGATTTACAATTGAATTCTGGCAAATTTTGGCAGTTGACGATTTGGGGTTGTTGAGTTGTTTATTATTGAGACATGTGACGAATAGCCGTCGTAAATTTGATGCTCTTAACCGTCTTAAACTTCAATCTCAATACTTCTGTTGAATACGCTCGTGTGCCCGTCATTGAGACAAATAACGTTCTGACATCTCTTATAAGGTATTTATTGTTCTTGATGAAACAGGGCAGCTAGTCCGCCTTTTGCAGACAGAAAAATTAAGAGCTTATATAAATTGACAAACTTGACCAGCATATATGGCTTTTATTCACTAGCACCATTCGCTATAATAAATATCAATCTTGCCAATACTTATAATTAAATATAATCATCTTTATTATGGTGAAAAGCACTATTAAGCTACACCGAGTCAGATTCATTAAAAAATCTTCCCTAAGACCGTTTTCTCCACTTTACACTGAACTCATATCATCATCCAAGTTGAATTCTTCGTCAAAGATTTCCAGAGAACTTGCGTATGAGCCTCTGCGATGAGTGTGGGAGTCGCGCACAACCATCCACCGCCGTCTGCTCTCGAGCACTGACTCGTATGGCTCGCTTGCTTCAGGAAACAACTCCGCAACAAGCCTGAAAAAATATTACAATTCATACAGGAGGCCACGTCAAAATATTCTACAAAGTGCAACCTATGCTAAGTCGTACGAAAAAGAATAGCGCCTCAGTAGCGCCGGTGCGCTGAAGCAGGCAGGAGTTGCAACTCGAGTCAAAAACAAAGCATTTATTTTGGAGCAACTTTTTGGTTAAGTGTGGCTATCTTAAGTATTTTTGTACCTAAGAAATGAATCGTACAAATAAAGTAAATTATTGCGAGATGCGAAACATTTCATGGTTACTAAGTGGAACAAATTTGTTTGTGTCATTTATAAACAATAAATATAATTATACTTATGAATAAATATACAAGTACACAAAAAATGTGGAAGAAAGGAAAGGCATAGATTAATTCACAAGCTGATACAGGGAAGAGGAACGCCCGCGTATGTAGGCATTAAAAATTTGGGAATTTAAATAAAAAGAACTCACAGGTATACAGGCACGGAAAACTCGGCGGAACACAGGCTAGAAATTCATGGGTATTCGGAAAATGAATCACGGTTATACAGGCGACTCGTGCTCACTAGACAACAGGCGGGGCAATGCTGAAAGTAAATCCAACATATGGTTTTATTTACTGGTAAACACAACCTGCAAGCAGTCAAAACTGCTTAGTATACAGACGGGTAATAGTGGAAGTAAACCCAACAGGTAGTCGCAGGGAGACAAAACCTGCACTCGAAAACCTGACTCCCCGGTAAACAGGTAAGGCAAAACCTGCACTCAAGACCCAGACTCACTGGTATACAGGTAAGGCAAAACCTGCACACAAAACCTGCACTCAAGACCCAGACTCACTGGTATACAGGTGAGGCAAAACCTGCACTCAAGACCCAGACGCACTGGTATACAGGTAAGGAAAACCTGACTCACTGGTATACAGGTAAGGCAATACTTGCACTCAAGACCCAGACTCACTGGTATACAGGTAAGGCAATGTTGTCAAGGAAGCTCAGCTGCAGCTCGGGAATGAAAGCCTTCTCCCGGTCCATCATTACGAGCGGGTTGTTGCCCATGGCTTTTTCGAGGTCTCCTTGTGTGAAGAACTCCTTGTATATTAGCTTAGCCACGCTTCTAGACGACTGCCAATCCTGTTAAATAGAAACTTTGGTTATTACTTAATTTAAAGTATCAACAAATATCCATACACATTAACGCTGCATTCATTAAATAAAAGTGTGGACAAGATAGGTAAACGATAGATGTTCAGTTCTCTTAAGCTCGGTAATCGTTAGCAAGAAATTTCATGCATTTGTATATATCACACATAGCAATTTTTATTATTGATGTCGATCGTCTATTTGATTAATTCGCTTATTATAATCTTTCACTTTTTTCACTTTTCAATCGCTTCGATCAACTGTCTTACTCGTTACTCCTATTTTCACTAGAACATTTTCTCTTAATTTTTTGTCCAACAGAAGCAAAAACCAATTACTGAAATTTGAGCTCGACCACAAATTTCTAATCTCTTTTCATGTTTAGTTGTAATAAATGATCAAAATGTCGTCTTTCAATACTCTGAATTAAATAAAACTTGGATACTATATTCTGAATTAGGAAAGGAAGTACGACCTATCCCTAGTAGTCCTGGTTCTCGATGAGAAAAAAAAAATGTAATGGTATCAAGATGATTTTCTAGAATTACATTCCAACCAAAATGTCGGTAATTATTTACCCCTCAAAATTTTAATTGCATTGATCATTGAATGGCATCTGGTGCTATTTCAAACAATACAAAAACTAGTTATGATGATTAAATTTGATTGGCCTATGTAATACGTCCAGCAGTAGATACTGAAGAACTGATGTCATTATTTACCTTCAGGAGGAACTTCGATAGTAAGAAACTCCGAAATCCGAGTTTACACACATTGTATGTACCCGAAAAACAAATGTATCAGCTCATGTATATACAATGTTATTTTCCCTTATAATTTTTTAACTGAATAATAGTAAACACTTGATAATAACCTTGGTCTGGTCGGACAGATCGGCCGACGTCATAAGCAAGCAGATTACCATGTATTTTACCCTTATAAAGGCATAATAAGATGAGGCAATACAAAAAATAATGAGGGACCGAAAATAGTGCAAGTATTACCTTGGTTGGTTAGTAATTAAATTAAAATCTATTATGATTTATTCAACCATTGTTCGTAGCGGAAAAATAGTAGCGTCGCAAATAGTTTAAGCGACGTAGTTCATGGAGTGATGAAGATATGAAACAAAAATGATTTTTTATGAACGATTTTTAATGAAAAATATCATTTAAGGGAAAAAATAATTACAAGATTATTTAAAATAAATATAACTCGAACAAATTTGTTTAACTATAAAAATTCAGTGTCATGTAACCGAAGCTAACTAAATGAAGATTATAATCGATCGGTTTATTATTTCGTAGTGGCACGTTTATTATTATTTATTATTACATTATATTATTATTTCGTAGTGGCACGTTTATTAATATTTATTATTACATTAAATTATTATTTCGTAGTGGCAATTAATTTTACTCAGATAACTTGACTCGTATTATTCGGACTCACATAAATTACATCAAGCACATGAATACACGAGTTTCAAAAATTTTAATCTTGAATTCAGGATGCCATATTGAATGGAACTTGCAGTCATTTTTTTCACAATATTTTTTGGTAAATGTTGATAAAAGTGTTTGCCAGCAGCAATATTGCGTTATTGGAGTGATTGTGAAATAATACCGAGAAGAAAACGTCATTTTCAAAGGGGCTCGCGGTATTGGGTGCTACGCAATAAATTCTGCACACAGGCGTTTTTGTCGCAGTTCGTCTGCAGTGTTTTACTCATGATTCGCCAGCGATAAATTCTTTTTTTAACGCGACAGGAAGCAGAAATATTTTGAAGAGAGCGTCGCACAGAGCCATAAGGAGGAAAGCACGCTGAAATTGCGTTTCTTTTGCAGGACTACTTTTTATAAGAATAATGAAAGATATAGATGAAATTTTGTTGGATTCTGTGTTCGTGCAATAGTGTAAAATTGTGCGAAATTTCTTTAGATTCAGTGAGCTCCTAGACCAAAGTTACGATCTTGCTCGATGACCTTAGAGTCACTTGACCGGGCGTAGTGCATGTGCAATAGTGTAAAATTATTTTAAATAGTGTAAAATTTTGTTGGATTCTGTGCATGCGCAATGGTGTGAAATTCTGTGAAATTCTGTGAAATTTGTTCGATTCTGTGCATGCCCTGAGATTTGAGAAAATAAATCATGTATATATTATCGATTTTTCGTTGGTTAGTTTGTTGAGTTTGAAGCCTTCTGCTGTAAATAAATTTGCGCTCTACGAGTGCATATTCCCAATGCCTATCGTATCGGGATATTACCTGTGATCAGAAATGAAAAATTGGCTTTTAATTTTTCGTCTAATTTCTTTTAAATTTTTAACGTTTTAAAGCCTAAGAGCTTTAATAAAACTTTAAAAATAAACTTAAGGTAAGGTTTAACATTATAAGTGACTTATACAGAGTTCTTCATTCAATTTATTTTGCTTTAATTTGAATAATTGTGACGGAAATAATGAAAACGCGATTAGGGAGTACTGGATTCTGTTAATGGTATATTGGGTCTAATTTCCGTAGATTTTAAATTGAAGATTTTTTCAAGGAAGGACAGGGCAAGAACAGAATATTATTTCAACGGATTTGGTACGTGATCGTTAATTTTTAGACTTTTAATACTGTTTAGTGGTCATATAATAAACCAATGGTAAACATTTATTTTGGACAAACATGATCTAATTTCCCCGAGCGGGTCCGGCAATTGCTTCGTTGGTTGGGGTCACGCGCCCATATTACTGGCGCAGGAAATTACTTAGCCAACTTAGACTATAAGGTGCACAACCCTTTGATAATAAACATATAATAAAAGCTGATGTATTATTCTTCATATACAACTTCATCACTTTTTTCACTACCCACATTATTATTATAACCATTATCATTTTCACTATCAAAAAGCTTATAATTTCAAACGAACAACAGCATTAAAAAGAAAATATCAATTTCAATATCAAACTAATGATATTGTTTCGATCGTCTGCATTCACAGTTACATCTCAACATTTAAAATAAAATGCATCCTAAATATTTCATTGTTATAATCAAATCGTGCAATTCAAATCATAAATTTTTCACACAAAAGTTCACAACTTCAAAATGAGATAAAGCCTTCTATTTTGACTTGTATCCGGCGGATTAATAGAATATTATTTTAAATATATATTTTAGGATTTAAATAGATAACGTATGGTTTTTATTCATTGGCACAAACGATTATTCACCGTTGTTATAAAGATTCATGCTTTTAAATTATTTTATTTTGACAGGACACGAATCAAGGCAAAAAAGTTAGCAATAATATTTTTTACGTCTCACCAAGTATGATGTCCCTCATAAGGTCAAGACACTGCGTGTACTCTTCTTTGGAAAGATTCTCGAAGATGTTGCAGCTTTCTGTGTTGAGAATACACATTGTTTGTGCAAGGTGGTGACGCTCCATCACCGAGCCTTCGGAGGAGTAGAGTGACGCCAGCACTGAGTTGGAATCAACCTGAAATCAAGTAAATAAATTTAAGCATATAGGCTAACAAGCGATGTCACGAGCTTTCATTCACCAAAAAGATGTCTCTAGCTCATGTAGGAATAGTAGTAGTGCTAATTTCTAGTAGAAGACTAAAGAAATTAGACTAGTAGTCTAATTTCTTAGACTAGTAGTCTAATTAGACTACTTAGACTAGTAGTCTAATTAGACTACTAATTAGACTACTAGTCTAATTAATCTAAGTCTATATAATTAGACTACTAGATAAGAATAAGTCTATCTAATTAGACTACTAAATCTAGTTAGACTACTAGTCTAATCTAAGTAGTCTAATTAGACTAGTAGTCTAATTTCTGTGCACGGCACTGTATCTCTGACCTGGAAGGAGTTTGTGGTGCCCCGATGGTCGAGGTCGTGGCAGAGACATGACACCATGAGTGCAAGGGCCTCCATGTGGCTGATGACGCCGTTCTCGCAGAGCTTCAGGTTGTTGATGAGGAGGAAGGCGAAGTGGGTGACAGAAAACGCGTGCACCCAATTGTGGTAAGGGGGGTCGCGGTACCCCTTGCGAACCATCAGTACGAACCTGTACCGATAACATAAAACCGATATATATAACCTGTGCGAACCGAAATCACCTCCGAGAATATGATAATAATCTTAACCGTGTGAAAATCTACATAGGAATCATGCAACGAAGCGAGAACAGGCATTTTTGTTGAACGAAGACGACGTTATTAGAGTGAATACATACCAAATAAAAACATATAAAATATTAAATAATAAATACTGGTATAGTATCAAATTGTTATAACGGAATAATACACATCAGCATGAATAAGAGAGCAAGTGGTATAAAAAAACGTACACTACTCATTCTTGATCGAAGAAAATAAGAAAGTTCTAAGTCAAAATATCATCAGTACCTATTACTAGAATAGCACATGGATTATGGATAGTCGCCGAATTAGAAGGTTGCAAGTACCTCGATCAGTACTTGGCTGATACCTTAATGAAGCTTTATTTCCAAACAATATTTGTTCTAGAGGCTATCGAGAAATGCATTATTCTTAACAATTTATTTCACTTATGAGAAAGATTTAAATGAGTTACTATCGTACCACTGCATGATGATAATAGCTGAGAGACTAATTAAAATCGGACCAGAAAATGAGATATCGATATTTACATAACAAACAATGTGCTTATCAATGCATAAAAGCACATCAAAAGCACATTAATTCATGTTGCGCAACGATGGCGCGCTTGTGACTCTGAATTCGAGGTATTTTTAACTCATTAATTAATTAAATCAGTTATTTGGTTAATTTAATCAGCAACATCTAGAAATAATTTCTTGATAAAATGACCAGAGATGGTCATTTTATCAAGAATATTCTTGATAAAATGAGCATGTGGGATCATTAGATTTTTGACCCTGGATTTTAGGTAATATTTTTAATAATAATATTATATTTTGACCCGGGCGATGATAAACATCTACGGTTGAATGGAAATATTGCTGATAAGCATCATCATATATAAAAATTTTCTATAGTTCTACTCCGAAGAACATATTCGGAGTAGAACAATTCGGAGTAGAACAATTTTCTACTCCGAAGAACATATTCCGAGTAGAAAATCATAATTTTCACCCAAACGATAATTCGAGTTTTGCCACACAAGTTAAGTGACGTTGATGGATGGAGAAGTTATAATGGCTTTGGAGCGCTGCTAACTTCACCGGCCACAACTTCTTATTGCATTTTGGGGCGAACAAAGACATCAGTTTCTCATGGCCAAGCTGTGGCTATGGATATCACAAAATGGAAAATCTGAATTAACGACTTTAATGAGGACCGAAATTTGTGTAAACTCGAAAGAATTTGTGTAAAATTTAACACAAACTCTCAATAAATGACTTTAATGACGGCTGAAATTTGTGTAAACCCAAAAGAATTTGTGTAAAATTTAATTTGTTATGATTTATGCCGACCTCTTCGCGTATTTGGAATTTATAAGCGTCAAAAACTGCCAGCAGTTTTATTAAAGAGATTTTGGTCCTGCGTCGTGAATTAAATTTCAACTCCGAGTGATAAAACTGAAATGGGTTCACATTTCAAACTACAATAAAATAACCATATAGAGTGCTTGGATATCAGTATCTTGGAATGGTTCATGGTTACCGTAATGAAGAATATAAATGAAGGAGTTATATTTCAGAAAATCAAGACAAACAAATCAGCGTCAAGACAGGAAAACTTTTGGATATGTTTTGACCTCACGGAAGCTATGTCTTGCGCTTTGACTCGGTGGCATTGAGTACATAAAGAAACGTTACGTTGGCTGTGAAAATATCCCCTGTCAATATCCTAGAAGCTCTAAGTCGAATTTGGATAAGAAAAAGAAACCAAATTTAGTTGAGGAGCTCAAGGTCAGGTATGCTGAGAAGAAATTCTGGTTGACGATCCAAAACACGACAGCAAATTCAATGCCAGCATGTATGTTGAAACCATTCTCACAATGCATAAATGAAGGTGTACTTCGTAGATGGTGTTAACTTTTTTCCATGCATAGAATTGAAAAAGTATGGCATTAAATCTTTCGAAGTCGATTTCGTTTATCTAAATAATACAATATTTTAGAATAAAAAAATTGTCTTAGCGTTAACTCCTTGTTGAAAATAAAAAAGAGAGGAATCTTCAATTAAAATTAAAATAAAAAAACGATTTTTCAATTTATGAGAAAGAAACTTTCGCAAGCCATAATCAGGAATGATGTTACAAGAAACTAATAAGCTTTGTCTCGCAAGTCGGATTTGGCTTCAATTTTTGATGGCCTTGAGACTTGACTGGACAATTAATATTTTCCGTTCACACATTGAAACAGACGGCATTTCAATTCAGACAAATGTAATTGAATTTTCAATATACAACCTACAAGTTTAGCCAATTGTATAGAACAAGAGATTCCTTTGGACACAATTGTTATTTTGATCTAATTTGACACACGGCGATTGGCAAATGTCTTTAAAAAAGCGACGTCTGTCATTAAAAAACAAAAGCCCAGGCTATTGAACCATAATTATCACTGAAAAAAAAAATCCAACACCTGGTGACGCGAGACTGACACAACTGAAGCCTCATCATCATTCCTCTCTCGTGTGACAAGTCAGCGAGAAAATCAAGAAAAATGAGGATATTGCCGTGTCGCGGATATCAGGTTATCTTGCTACAGTAACGAAGTTAGTTCACGGCTTCGTTGCCTGCAATTTCCTATTTGCAAGAAGAAAATACTTTCTGCAATACAAGCGCCAGCACTTACGCCCGTCACGACAGCTTCATCGCAAAAATGCGCATGCAAGCGAAACATCATGAACATTTCGCCGAGACGCACAGCATGAATTTCGTTTGAGCGCGACATGCAAGGTGTCGTACGTAATGCGCTAGAATTTCGAGTACGTTTCGGAATTCGTGTTAAAAAATTTTTAGATTCAAACTTATATCAAATAACCTAATAAATAGTTTTTTCTTTAATTCAAATTATCAAGTCTCTATTTAATGCCGGAATGATTTGAGTATTCAGGTGGCTGACGTGTGCTTTATTATTATTGTCCACCAGAAGAAGAAATAATTATAATAAAGGAGATCTAACACATCGACAATTAAGGAGATTGAGGTCTCAGGACTTGACCTAGTCTTACCTGATAGAATATACACAAAAAAGTTAAGAAAAAAAAGTTAAGTGTAAGATTAGATGTTGCAGTGCTGATATAGTAAAAGTTAATACGTACTATAATTCGAGAACGGTTATACTCGTTACTTGTTTCTCTAATCCCTCTCTAAAGTTCGGAGCGTCAAGGATATTACTCTATATTCTCAGGCTATCGTCCACACAAGTGCCTCAGTGGCACAGTTTTATTTTCTGGCATCAGGAGTGTTTCCTGCATGTAAAATAAGAATTTAAAGACTTCCAAAATCTGAGAGCAAATACAAAACAGTTTCGAACTTCTTTCGTTATGAAAATTGTTTAGAGAGTAGCTAATTTTTTATCCGATCGAGTGACCCCTAGGCTAACTTTTATAGCCCCAGCGAGTCTAGGGCAAGCTTCTGCTTGCGATCAACTTAAATTTGGATATAATTTAAAATTCCAATAGGAATAACTGGAAGCTCCAGAAATAGCTTATGCTGGAAGTGAATAACCTTAACGTTAAAAAAAATTAGGTTAAAGAACGCATAGACGGATGAACGTGACAAATAACGCCCACGATTGAAAACTTTGGCTCTAGAGACCGTTTTACTGAGGTTAGGTCCAGCCAGGTCAAGTTTTTTTTATATATTTTTTGCAATTTAGAAAAAAAATTAATTAAAGTCCGGTATTAATTTTAGATAACTATAGATAAAAAATCTACGGAAATATGCTCCGATTTTTCAAGAGACCATATTTATGAGAACTGCCCCCTGCAGCGCATGCTTAACACGACTGCGGAAGGAATTGAACTCGTATCTATATTACAGAGTTCATCCACTCCAAACATGAATGCCACAGAGACTAAAAAATGGCTGATATACGACCGCAACAACACCCAGATGCGATGTAAATATAGTTTTCCACCAACTTGTTTTTCTATAAAAAATTCATTTCACTTGAACTGAGAGGTTCATTCTAAGAATTTAATCCATAATAAGTATTATGAGATTAGAGTATTTTTCCGTGTAATTTAATGTATTTTCGAACGGATAAAAAAGCAATAAATATTCGATGTAGAAATTTCTAACATGACGTCTGAGGTGAAAGGTCGATGGAATGCAAAGCCTCTTTTTAGGCATGCACGGTTTAATTTCTGACTATCAAAATTATTCGTATTATCAAGTTATTGTTCATCAGACAGCGTTGCCTCACCAACACTGTCCTTCACCAATAAAAATAACACGCAGAGATCGTCATTTCTAGTTCATTTGCAGAATTTCGGTGTAAACAATGACACAGGCCGTCGAGTCTATGCGTTGTGTGGACAGAGCGAGACACGGACCACAGACCAAGTAAACACTCCACCTTGTGGTCTGTGATGAGACCGCATCCAATATGCCGAGGCTATTTTTGACTTGTTAGCGCATTTTCTCATTTATGGAAAAAATGCACTATTGTGCTCGCCATGTCTGTCTGTCTGTCCGTCCGTCTGTCCGTCCGTCCGTCCGTGACCTCAAGTAGATGTGTATAAGAGACAGATTGTAATAACTTGAGACATGATCTGGTTTCGAGCTTGTCTCAGGTGGCAGGAAGAACGGCTGCTCAATGTCATTGAAGTCAATCCAATTAGTCCAATGTAATCCCAAAGATGAAGAAGTCTACAACCTTCTTTGTGTCTCTTATACACATCTAGATGTGTATAAGAGACAGGACTAGTTGTTTTGANCATCCAATGCCGAGGCTATTTTTGACTTGGTTTTTATTGCATGGAAACTCCGGCATGTCCGGCCAAGACAGCTGATTATATGCACTTAGTTCAGCAAAATGGCGCAAGATCATTCATAATGGAAAATTATTGTGTCATATTGTACAACAATAACATGTGAGTCACTTCCTGTGACCAAAAAAAAAAAGGCCAACGCACACTGATATCATTGTGACAAAGAAGCTTATGATGGGAAATTAAACTTTAATAACATTTTTCACTTGAAAAAGCTAGGCGAACAGCATCATCATTAATTTTAGATCGAAGCATTTTCATAGAATGTGATTACATTCTAATTCATCAGATTATATTTATGAGCTCCTATCGAACTCGTGATCAAATTAATTAAGAATACGAAAATGTGTTCACTTCTGTCGATAAGAGTAAGGGGCACATACCTGGCTAAGGTGCTGGGGGTGATGGACCAGCGCTGGGGGATGCCCAGGTGAGTCATCATCGAGATGACGGCGAGGGGGGATGAAGGCTCCGGCAATACGCGCGGGAAGAAACTGCAAACGATAATACGCTAATTATGTGTAAATTAATATATAACAATAATAGTTATAAATTATTAATACTACTATACGCTATACTAATACTATACTAATATTGATACTACTATACTACTATACTATACTAGTACTTATATTATTAGTCTGCTTATATCGCAAGTTCACAAGGAATTTAAAAGCAAAGAAAACGCCAAGAAAAATTCCAAGAAAATTCGACATACTATACTAATACTATAAATTATTAATACTTTCAAGCTAAACTGTTCACATCATAACGCAGCCATTAACGTAATATTTATTTTGAGATGACGAGATGACAAAATAAATCAAATTTGCATGCTGTCTTGAAGCAAACTTATGAGAAAAATGTAAGGCTTCTATTGATCCTAAAGTTTGTAAAACAAACCAGGATAAAGCAATCATACATTTTTGAGGAATATCTGAAAATACTGTTCTGAAAATAATAATCTGAAAGCTAAAAATTAGAAACTTTATCCCAGTGTAAACTTTATCACAGAAGTGCAATTTGATTTTTGTTAAAATGCCACAAATGAAGAAAATCGAATAAAATTTATAAGAAAGCTCAATGCAGATCAAGGTGTTAAAAAAATTTGGTGAACTGGCGTGATCGGTTGATAAAATGCTTAAATTACACCTATTCGAAATCAATAGATTAATAGCTAAGGTTCAAAGTGTCTGACCTCCTACCTGCAAACAGTAGCAACCCACTTCTAACAATGATTGCAGTAGCAATCAACATCACTATTGTACTGTACTGCCGCAATCAACGGCCTCTGGAATCATGGCGGACTCAATGACATCGGCCAAAATTGATCGTGGCTTTAGACAAAGAAGTCGTCAAGCCTCTATTATGTTGACATTATGGGCACAATAGGCGAATAATTGCAGGAGATGGTGAATAGGCGAATAATTGCTGGTTTAGCATAGGTGTTGTTTGTTCTAGCATAGACGTCGTCAGTCTTGGCATATGTCCTTTGTTTTAGCATAGACGTCATCTGTTTTTATTCTTCTCTCGTGTCTTTTTTAGCCACTTGTAACGTGCCCTCGAAGTTCGATCCGAACGAGACGCCACGACAATCTCTTCGTGGAATAATAATAATAATAATGGCGTTGAAATGCCCTTGTATAAACCCGCCCTCGTCCCATATATGAATTAAACCTGACAGCCCTTACAACCCCTCAGTCAGAGAGGGGAAATACAATCATTTCCAGAGAACACATAGTTTTAGAAGACTTTTCGACAGGCCTAGATCTTAAATAAGTCGATTAGATATAACTGCAACCAATATTATCTGGGGATAGAGAATCAATCATGTTTTAAACGTATTTTAGAGACCAGTCTAGAAAAATGGGATTCATGAAGATCATAATTTTAATAAAAACGCCTCTCTTGCCTCTAATTGGAAGGTAATTATTAAGGAGTAAAATAATCAAAAAAAATTTTCGCATATGAATATTTGAAATATTTCGCAAAAATTTCCAGTATATTTCCATAATCAAGAAAATATTATCTATCGCTCAAGAAACTTTCAATGCACATTTCCTCCGAAAATACGACCCAAGTTTACCTCCGCCATCATCTAGTTACCTGTAGTTCATTAGGCGCTTTTACCGAGCCTACTGAGCCTATGATTGCCTTAAGCCCAAAAGTGCACAACTGGAACTTTTTGTAAAGAACGGAGCAAAATTTCCAAAAGTCTCTAAAGTTAGATAGCTTCTAGTTCCGCGAGACCGACCTAGTTGGACGAGAGTTTAAAAATTTCAAGTAAAATTGCGAGCCCCGGCGCATCTGAAAATGCATTGGAACCGGATACAGAACATCAGTTTTATATGCAAATCTAAATTGGCAGCTCGGGGACAGCAACGGTCGTTTCTTCCACGTTTGGGCAAAATAACAGATGTCAAAACGTGAATAATAGCTTTTGAATGTATTATTTTTAGGATGAATATATATCCTGACACTAGTTGTCGGAAAAAGTAATGTTTTAAATTCGAAGTAATTAAATGAAAATTTACTGCACTCGGTCGAAGAATATGCATTATGATTGGCTTCAAATCGGTATTTGCATAGGACAATGACCGAGCCGAGTAATTTACGTCAGGGCATGAAAGTTTTTATAGCCTCAGATGTTCTAGAAATAATTTATAACCCTCTCGTTGAAAAAAAAAACAGAAAATAATATGTTCTTCATATCAAGCTATTATTTCCAGAGTCTCGTCAAAATATAAAATGGGCTTCAGAACTTCCTTGAAGATGAGACAGCCTTTAATATTGACCGAGTATACAAATATTTCAAGAATTGAGCTGTAGACGATCGAGACTAATTTCCGTTTGGTAAACGTTGAAGGAAAAATCAGAAAAACGAAAATGACGTAGCGGATATTATAGTAAAAAATATTATTTCCCCCTGAACTAATTAGTTGACTTGGAAAAGTAGGCGTAATGAGGGCTTGTAACGCAATATAAGAGAGACGCGGGTATATCAAGAGCTTACACGGGCAGACTAATTTATATAGAGAAGGAAATGAAAGTATACTAGGTAAAAAAGGAAAACTACAAGTGATCAGTAAGCATGCATGCATAATGAAAATTTTTAAATGAAATGAGCGAGTTTCAAAATCATTTTCACATACATAAGAAAAGCTCAAATTCAAGTGTACTCTTTTGCGTAAAAAACAAGCATTCATGAAGAAATAAGCTTCAATTAACACGTTGACAACGATTGCTTCATCTTGTACTATTATTTCATTTTTTTGTACTTTTTTTTAAACCTGCAGGGTTGCCAGACGGTCATTTTTTCCGGACAAATTCCATGATTTAGTTTTTTTCGATTGCGTTGGCCGGCTAAAATTTATGATAGTGGTACTTCCTAAATAAATTTAAAATAGTGCTAAAATGAAATAAATGGAATTTTTATAGCAGAACCAAGGACTTGAGCAGAACCTACTAATAAACTAGTAGTATATTTTGAGTTATCGGCCTTTTTTGGCCTTTTTTATTCTCGGATTTGGCCAATTTTAGGCAACCTGGATTATGTACCACTACGTCCTGGAGAAATACATTTCGTGGTACGCATATGTACCACTTTGTAGTCAACGTGTTAAGCGAATGGTATACCAGCAAATTGCTCTTGATGAATATCAAATGAATTACCTGAATGAGAAGAAGTCGGGGTGCAGTTGGGCAGGTTCAGGAACAGCCGTGCGCGTCAACTTGTCTACTTCTTCTTTGGTCACCTGAGGACGAGAAATGAAAACAATCAGTAGATGATTATATTTTCTTCTTATATCAATTTTATTAAGTACTTATATTATCAGTCTGCATATATCGCAAGTTCACAAGGAATTTAAAAGCAAAGAAAACGCCAAGCAAATTCACCATATCGATATTGAAAGCGTTTCAGAGTCGAACATTTTTAGATTGTAGAACTGATGGAGCTGGAATCCGAAACGTTTTCTATAATGATACAGTTTTATTAAAGATTAGTTTATCAGGATGTTTTTACTCTGGTAACTTTCTATTCCCTATTGACTTATCCCATCATCGTTATATGTTATTGTTCTATTGATTGTAATACCATCTATGTCGCCTGTGAAGCTTTTTAGCTTATATATGGGTCATTCACAAGGAAGCATTTTCTGTTTTTTTTTCTCAAAATTTTTAGATATTCTCTTGTTATGAATTTTTGTGTGCTCCTGTGTGAAGAAAGAATAAATAATATTTTGCGTCATAAACGTAATTTCCCCCTTGACTCATGTTTTAAGTTTCGACGAAAAATCCGGTTGATTAACGTTCATAAATAGAAAAAAATATTTAAATAAAACAAATACAAAATAATTAATTATCATTATGTCTAATACAAATGTTACAATTGCACAGAAAAAGAATTGTCGCCAACACTCCCCGTTCTTTCAATAATCCAGCAGCGAACGGTGCTTTGAAAAATTCATCTACAATCGGTAATTATTCTCACCAAGGTTTACTGAACACAAAAAGATCGTCCTTGGAATGACCAACAACAAGGCTGCGTATGTAAATTATATGAAGGCCATGACAATAAATAGCGATGCAGATACCAACTCTGTATGAAAATAAATAGCGATGCAGATACCAACGCTATACATCGGTAAGGATACCCATAGAGTCAGAAGCTGTTGACGCGAAACGAGTGAAGAAATTCTGATCGTATTGCACTTTTGAAAGTCTGAATAATTTCGTTTTTAATATCCGAATAATATTTGACATATATTCGCTAATTGGGACCGTTTCATTCATTCATTTAGTGATCATGCGAAAGCGAAGCAATTAATTAATTATTAAAATAAATATTAAATTATTAAAATATTTATTAATTAAAATAAAAACATTAAACAATTAATGTTCAAAAATAGGTGGATAGTAATTGAAATTATCTTGCGCTTACTATTCTAATTAATAACTAATAACCTTAATTGGAGCGACCAATGCATGTGTTTGGTCCTAACATAGGAGGATTCAAATAGAATCATTCGCTTCACATGTGGCACCGTAGGTCTAGAAATTTTATTTTCTAGGCCCCAATCACTCACGCCAAAACATGGACGAATTTTTGAAAGGCTGAGGTGAAAAATATTGCTGGCCTCTCCCGAAATAGCAGCTTAATGACCCATAGAAGAGCATTAGAAATTCGGCGACACTTTTACCGACGTCGAAGTCCCAAAATAATCTTCTAAAGAGAATGCCCAACAGGCATACAAGTTTAAAAACAAGTGTTATCTTTCGAATAAATGATATTCTAAATGTTCTGTAATAGATGTGACTATTTAAGTAATAGCGTGCATTTATATCCGCTACTCGAGCAACTTAAAACGCACTCAATGTTCCCGACAAGTCCCTTTATTCAAACACAACTCTTATTAATTACCAGACGCTGCCTTGAGAATAAATGAAGATGAGGGAGCCATTACAATCCTTTTATGTCATCTTATAACACCATAAGCAAGAGTGCGCAATAGACATCATATCACACACAACGTGATAACCAGACTCGGCTTCATGTTACACACAAGATGATAACAGGACACAGTATCATGTCGCATTCAAGATGATAATATAATAGATCACTATCTGAAACGCTAGTAAACCTTCTGGACGTAGTGACAGCGCGTTGGTCTGTCAAGGCAAGACCAATATTCACCACCGCCGCTGTAATCCACCACTTATTTTTTTTTGTGTCGCCAACCATAGCTGGATTCGTCAACCATGTGACGGGCCTAGAAAACTAGCCTTGATTATCGTGCTGCCACCGGCTCTGCCTTCCGCCTGAACTTTGTCCTCGCAAGTTGAATTATGTACCAATAAGTGTTGACCAGCGTAGCAGGAGGCTTCAACTGGGCGGCGACCGATTGGTTGGAAGTCCCGGCGTATTCACCACCAGCACAGCGCTACTCAGTTTAATTTTTTTGGATTTGACTTCTTGAGTCGCCTGAGTCTAGCGTGGAATAACAATAGGTTTCCATATCGATCAAGAACCGATGATGTTATATGGTTGGACTCAGCCGAAACATATTTTCTCATCATTTTAAATAAGGGTTTTATCTTATACCTAGCCGCATTTTTTGCATTATTCCTGATTTTGTGTTCATTGCAATATTTTTCATTACATATGGTGCACATGTATTTCATCCTTAACTTGAAGTAACGTTTTACAAATTGAACTTTCAAGGATAATTAAGATTTCGATAGGGAACGAGTTAGTTCTCTTCAAACAACAGCACCACGCCTCACGCAAGATGATAACAGGCCACAGCATCATGCCTCTTATAAGATGATAACAGGCCGCAGCATCATGCCTCTTATAAGATGATAACAGGCCACAGCAGCATGTAACACACAAGATAATAACATGACACAGCAGCATGTAACACACAAGATAATAACATGACACAGCATCATGTCACACACAAATGATACATGACTCGGAATCATGTCGTATAACAAGGAAACGTGCAAAAATTGCTCATACTATTTTTTTTACTTCTCTAGCCCAGATCCAATAACTCCTCTGGCCTAAACTCTATGTACTATTTTGCTCTGAGGCGCAGTTGAACGTGAGACTAATCGCCTAGCTTACATAAGTGAAGCTGATCTTGTCTGTGGGATCAAAGTCGTCTTTAACAACCTCGCTGCAAGGAGGTCGTGGAGGAGGCCTGGCCCAGATTTCGGGGTCGAATAGAATCCTACGTTGATGCTAAAGTCGGGTTCAGAAATAGCTGAAGAAAGTACTGATCCTGATAAATATTCATTATTCGAATAGTTATTATTTTTGTGCAAATCTATTTCGTNAGATGTGTATAAGAGACAGACTTAAACGCACTCAATGTTCCCGACAAGTCCCTTTATTCAAACACAACTCTTATTAATTACCAGACGCTGCCTTGAGAATAAATGAAGATGAGGGAGCCATTACAATCCTTTTATGTCATCTTATAGCCGCCATGGTTTCCGGGAACCAGACGGTACACTTTACGGTACAGACAGAGTTAATAATTATTTTAAAAGGTTCCAGTTTATTGTATTTATATGTTATTTAATATAAAATTATATAGTTCCTTGTATCCTAGCATATAATAATATGCGTTTAAAAATTATATTTTTAAAGACACTTCTAAAGAGGCGCAGTATCTCCGATGTTACACATGTACACTGAATTTTTAATTTTATTTTTAATAAAAAAAATTATTTGTCAGTTTTTAATTAAAAATGTACATTTTTTTTAATTATTTATTTTGTCAAGTGATCCAAGCATTGTCTCCGACTTTACGCAAGTGTGAAAATTTCAGATCTTTTGGACAATTAGAGGTGTGCTAAATATTGATAATACGATTTGATTCATGGCAGAAAACAACAGGAAGTGAAGTTAAAGAGAAGTGTAGTAAAAATGACTTAAAACTAGTTAATAACATTCATAAAAATAGATAAGCAAACAACTGAGATCTCGAAAGAAAAAGAGAAAGCTAACGACAAAACCCGAAAATTTGTGGTCACAACACTCATTTAAATTAAAATTTAAGACGACTTTTACTCCTTTGCAGTTGCTTACATACTGCAGCATTGCAAAGGTTGGCCATAAACTGTCATTTCAATATAAGAAAAATTTGACTTTTGTTAAGTATATCCTAACTGTCACTCGATTAATTATTATTGAAAAATAATAATTGGAAGAAAGTTTTGTAAGAAACGATTAACAGATTAAGAAATCATATGTTTCATTATAAACGGATTTAGGAGATTAGAGGAAACGGAGAAAAAAATAGATATGTTTTACAAATAAGATTTATGTTATGTGCGGGGACTTGAGAGCAGCAAGAGTATCGGTCAAACATGAATGTGATCATTAAGCGAATTGAATATCAGTAATCCCACAAAAATAATGCATTTTAGTGTGACGGTTTTCATAAATAAATTTGAACTTGGGCTGCTAAGGATATTTGAATATGATTATAATAATTCAAGTTCAATATCTGTTAAATTGCAACAATTACAAATTAATGATCTAAAATCAAACTGAATTAAATATCTCATTACATCACAATAAACTAATGCAAATAAGTAAATAAAAATACAGAAGTAAGGAATAAATTTCTCAAGACGAAGTAATTCAAGAGTGGAGAAGTACAGTACATTGAGTACGGAGAATAACATACAAATTAACTTGCTATTCACGAAAATCAAAGTTTTTAACCTACATTCTAAAGTTAACGGGCTATTCGCAGGCAAGATGTATCACTCTGAACTACAGTTATAAAATTATCCCAGTCCGTTTATGATCTAATTTTACGGGTCAAGTCCCTGCCAAGTCTTCAATTCTCACAAATTCTCATTAATTACATGAACGAGAACACACTAACATTGAGAAATTTGTCAGTGCTCGGCCCGATGAATAAATTTTAAAGTTCTATGAGACGAAGGCTGCGGACCAAATCTTGCGTAGAAACGAAGCGACTGTTCGATGACCGTGTCCGAAAATAAGGAAAAAAATGAATGGATCATATTTTCCAGTGACAAGAATTTACCTACAGTACTAATACCCCATTTCTCCGGGCCAAACTGGTGAAGGATTACTGACACAAGAGCGAAAAATTATCAATATATGGACAAAGCCTCACTCATTTCTTTAAGTGAAGAATTTCATTTAATAAGTGACCAAAAAGGCCATAAAATGTATTGAGAACGCGTCTAAAACAAACGGGCTTCC